AATTCTGGGCAGCTAGGTTTTAGCTGGGGTCCTCCGAGCTTAGGACTGAGATATGTGAGCTAAGTGATAAGATCATTTTTCCTCTTTAAATAACTCCTGCAGTGGACACCTGTAAGATTGGCTGCTTGGTACTCTTAAAAAAATATATATTTTATTGATTTCAGAGAGGAAGGGAGAGGAAGAGAAAGATAGAAACATCAATGATGAGAGAGAATCATTGATCAGCTGCCTCCTGCATGCCCCACACTGAGGATCAAGCCCACAACCCGGGCATGTGCCCTGACCAGGAATCAAACTGCGACCTCCTGATTCATAGGTGGACGCTCAACCACTGAGTCATGACAGCTGGGCACTTAGTACTCTTTTTCCTAAAAATGCTTAATATCCCCATCACAGTGGCTACTTATGGAAATAGCCATGTTAGTAGATTCTGACCTGGCAATGGGTCTGGGTTGAGGGGGTTTCTGAGAAGTCAAATGGGCCAATCATAAGACCTTTCCCTGCTGCCATAGTTAACCAGTCCAGGGGGGTTGCAATGTGCCAGAGTGTCGTTGCAGATGCTAGGGATGCAACAAAACTGATAAAAAAAAATTCCTGCCTTTTGGGGCTTACCTTGCAGGAAAGGAAAACAAGTCAGCAAGCAAGTTAGCAAGTAACATTTCAAATGTAGACCTCTGGGGCCAATGAATCTCTTCTCAAGACTTTTTGTTCTTGGGATGCAGATTTTGGGGTCAATGTCTATGCACATGACTGTGGTTGTAAGATGGAGCTTCTTTTGTCACACGGGGAAAGCCATTATACCAGTGATGGTGAACCTATGACACGCGTGTCAGAGGTGACACACGAACTCATTTTTTTGGTTGATTTTTCTTTGTTAAATGGCATTTAAATATATAAAATAAATATCAAAAATATAAGTCTTTGTTTTACTATGGTTGCAAATATAAAAAAATTTCTGTATGTGACACGGCACCAGAGTTAAGTTAGGGTTTTTCAAAATGCTGACACGCCCAGCTCAAAAGGTTCGCCATCACTGCATTATACAGAAGAAAAGAGACTGAAGCCAGTGCACAGCGATTCCAGTCCAAATTGATACTGTTTACACACCAACGAGAATATGTCTGCCTGGATGGTGACTTGATTGCACACAAATTATAAGCTTTCTGTACCCATTGTTATACCATGTATGTAACCTGGAAAACTCTCTTGAATTTAATTTTTCTCCCTGAACTTCCCGTCACCTCAACTGAAAAGTTCAAATAAAAACAAAAAACCCGAAGAGTATAATTCAATAAAATATTTATTGCACTGTGTTAGGTGTGGCGGAGTATAAAGAAGTATAGCTAACACAAAGCAAAACAAAACCATCACTGAACAGGTGCAGACATTCTGAACCAAAATAAAGGAGACATCCCTGCAGGCCAAAAGGAGAATGTTCTGGATGCCAGACTGATCAAAGGGAAAAATGGGTGGCGAGGAAAGAGAAAGCCAAAAACCATGTTCCATTTGTAATTATGAAATTACTAGAGGCCTGGTCTGTTCCTCAGCTTGGCCTGCACCCTCTCCAATCTGGGACCCCTCGGGGGATGTCTGACTGCGAGTTTAGGCCCGATCCCTGTGGGCATCCCTCTCGCAATCCAGGACCACTGGCTCCTAACCACTCACTTGCCTGCCTGCTTAATGCCCCCAACTGCCCTCTCCTGCTGGCCTGGTTGCCTCTAACTGCTCTCCCCTGCTGGCCTGGTCACCCATAACTGCTTCTGCCTTGGCCCCCACCACTGGAAAGAAGTCAGACGTCCAGAAGATGGCCGGTTGACCTGGTCTAATTAGCATATTACTCTTTTATTAGTATAGATTATTTTTTGTTAATTCACACCCGAGAATATCTTTTTCCATTTATTTTTTAGCAGCCAAGGTATGTGTCCTTGGCCAGAATTGAACCCACAACCATTCAGTCCATAAGCCTACACTAACCACTGAGCAACCAGCAAAGGCTAAAATGATTTTTTAATTTATTTTATTTATTTATTTTTTATTAAATCTTTATTGTTCAGATTATTACATTTGTTCCTCTTTTTCCCCCCATAACTCCCCTCCTCCCAGTTCCCACCCCACCCTCCACCCTCACTCCCCACCCACTGTCCCCATCCATAGGTGTACGATTTTTGTCCAGTCTCTTCCCGCATCCCCCACATCCCTTTCCCCCCCCCCAAGAATAGTCAGTCCATTCCTTTTCTATGTCCCTGATTCTATTATAATCACCAGTTCATTCTGTTCATCAGATTATTTATTCACTTGATTCTTAGATTCACTTGTTGATAGATGCGTATTTGTTGTTCATAATTTGTATCTTTACCTTTTTCTTCTTCTTCCTCTTCTTAAAGGATACCTTTCAGCATTTCATATAATACTGGTTGGTGGTGATGAACTCCTTTAGCTTTTCCTTATCAGTGAAGCTCTTTATCTGACCTTCAATTCTGAATGATAGCTTTGCTGGATAAAGTAATCTTGGTTGTACGTTCTTGGTATTCATCACTTTGAATATTTCTTGCCACTCCCTTCTGGCCTGCAAAGTTTCTGTTGAGAAATCAGCTGACAGTCGTATGGGTATTCCCTTGTAGGTAACTGAGTTTCTTTCTCTTGCTGCTTTTAAGATTCTCTCTTTGTCTTTTTCCCTTGGCATTTTAATTATGATGTGTCTTGGTGTGGTCCTCTTTGGATTCCTTTTGTTTGGGGTTCTCTGCGCTTCCTGGACTTGTAAGTCTATTTCTTTCACCAGGTAGGGGAAGTGTTCTGTCATTATTTCTTCAAATAGGTTTTCAATATCTTGCTCTCTCTCATCTTCTGGCACCCTTATAATTCGGATGTTGGTACGCTTGAAGCTGTCCCAGAGGCTCCTTACACTATCTTCGTATTTTCGATTCTTTTTTCATTTTGCTTTTCCGGTTGGGTGTTTTTTGCTTCTTCACATTTCAAATCTTTAACTTGATTCTTGCACTCCTCTGGTCTGCTGTTGGGAGTCTGTATAATATTCTTTATTTCAGTCAGTGTATGCTTAATCTCTAGTTGGTCCTTTATCACAACATTGAGAGTCCCATTAGATTTCTTGAGGATCTCATTATATTTATCGGCGGTCTCACCAGTCTTTTCGAGGGCCTTACTAAATTTATCGGCGGCTTCTAGACAGTTCTTGAGAGACCTTAAAAGTGTGGTTTTGAGCTCTATATCCAGCATTTTGCCTTCCTCCATTTCTGTCCTGTTTCTTTGTCTCCTCATTTTTTATGCTTTCTTGGTGCACCCCCTACTGGTCTTTGTGCGCTGTCTTGTGGTAGTTAAGCCTTGATTGTTGTAGGTAACACTGAGGGGGATTTGACCTCCAGGCCAACTGGCTGTGAGAATCAGCTGTGTCTGCAGTGGGAGAACTTCTGTCCTCTAGGGAGGTGCTAATCTAGCCTTTGCCTGAGGCTATCTGGCAAATGGCTCTGCGCAGGGCTTGGGCAGGGCGGGTCCCAGGGGATTAACAGGGCGGGCGGAGCAAGCAGTTATGGCTGCTCTCAGTCCCGTCCCCAGAGGCTCTGCCTCACAGAGTCCCAGTGAGCGCTGCAAACCTCAGAGAGAAAGCTGCCCTCGAGTTCCGACCGCTGCCAGACAGTCCCGTTTCTCCTGTATGAGGCTGGGTCCCCAGAGACTCGCCCAGAACTGGAGCCCAGAGCCTGAGACTCCCTCCCGATCGAAAATGACAACTGCACCCTCAGCCACTGCCTACTGGGGATCCACCTGATTGATGTTTCTATCTCTCTCTTCCTTCTTCTCTCTGAAATAAATAAAGACATATTAAGAGAATAAAAAGCCAGTTTAATTAAAATTGGAACATTTTTGGTAAGCATGGGGTTTCAGAAGAAACACAACACGGACCCTCCCTTCCAGGAAATTACCATCTTTTCAAAAGACACCCTCTCATTACCTTATTTTATTTCCTCTTTAGACCACTTTCCTACGTTTGAAATGTTATTTGCTAACTTGCTTGCTGACTTGTTTTCCTTTCCTGCTAGGTAAGCCCCCAAAAAGCAGGAATTTTTTTTTATCAGTTTTTTTGCATCCCCAGCATCTGCAACGACGTTCTGGCGCATTGCATATAGCCCAGTAAGAAGTCGTTGAATGAGCCCTGACTGGTTTGGCTCAGATAGAGTGTCGGCCTGCGGACTGAAGGGTCCCAGGTTCGATTCCAGTCAAGGGCATGTACCTGGGTTGTGGGCACATCCCCGGTGGGGAATGTGCAGGAGGCAGCTGATCGATGTTTCTCTCTCATTGATGTTTCTAACTCTCTATTCCTCTCTCTTCCGCTCTGTAAAAGATCAATAAATTAAAAACAAAAAGAATTTGTTGAATGAAATGCAGAATAAGGTCCTAGGGTAAAATCATAAGGGCGTGACCTTGAATTTCTCTGGCCCCGCCTAGATCTCTACCTTGTCAACACTAGGGGGCAGGCCGAGATTAGAAGAGGAACGAATTTTTTCCCCTTCAGGGCAGTGGTTCTCAACCTTCGCTTACTTTAGAATCACCTGGGGCTCCTTCAGACACATCCTTAAGACTAGGCCACACCCCTGACTTAACTAAATCAAGTCTCCACAGGGTGGGGCCCAGGCATCAGTAGTTTGGAAAAATGCCTAGAAGATGACAACGTACAGCTAAGAACAAGATGGACGGGGAGGCGAGGCGTGGCCGTCAAAGTCGCGCGGCTTTCAGCAAAGAGGGATAATGGGGACAAGCTCTAAGGACCCGGCAGCACTTCGCCGCCACCTCACACCCCTGACCACGCTCCGCGGTGCATTTAATCCACCATGGCCGGCCCGAGGCTGCTAGAGTGGGCAGCTCCACGGAGACGGACTCCAGTTTCCCGCCAATGAACTGAGCTGCAGGCCCAGCGTGGCCCCGCCCCTTGGCAGCGAGGCCCCGCCCCCAGGCCGCGTGGGTGGAGGGGTCCGCCCCCGGAGGGCCGGGCGGCCGGGGTGCGGTCGGCCTGGGCGGCGAGTTCTGGTCGCCGTGGCGCTCGCTGTCGCACTTGCTCTCGCCCTTTTCCTCGCTTCTGCTTCCCTCCGCGGGCCCGGGTCTCTGGTCACGTGCACAGCGGCGGAGCGCGATGAGGCCTGTGGCGCTGCGGTAGGTGGCCGGGGGGGCTGACGTGGCTTGTTGGGGGGCGCCCACGCCTGCCCGCGGCGCTGCTAGCGGGCCCGGGCGGAAGGGCGGGGTTGGCGTCGGGCGGCACGAATGCGTGGGCATTTGGGCAGAACGTGAGGCTGGAAGGAGAAGGGCGCCCGCCTGCCGGGACCACGCCGGGAGCGGGTGCGCCGGCCTGGGGTGGGGCACGGCGCTCCCCACCTTAGCGTCTTGTGGCTTTGAGTGTGATATTAATAGCGAAGCGGCACTTCACGGGAGGAAGTTGGGTGTTCCCTGAAATTCCTTTATGTTTGCTCATCCTGGGTGTGGTTTGGGGGTAGCCCGTTATCAGAAAGCTGGTATCTGGAATCCCTTATTACCTTTTCAGCCCTTTGCCCTCCTTTGGAGAACATTTTTAGGGTTAAGTGCTTGGCCTACTTGGACTCAGACTTAAGTGTGTTGTAATGTAGGGTACTTACTGGGCTCTCAGGACTGTATGACGAGGACCCCTGGTGCTGACTGCGACTTTACCTTTAATGAGCAGCAAGTCAAGCGGGCGGGGGGCTTTGATTGGGTCACTTGGACGAAGAGAGGATGCTGTTTTGTAAATGTCATCATCCCAGCTTACCCAGATGAAGCCTAAGGCTTTAGATTTCAGGGTGGCTGGCTCTCGCCCAAACCCCTTCACTGGAGCACTCCAGCTGTTCAAGTTCTTTCTGCCTGTCTGGGCCCCAGGGGGCCCTTCACTGTTCTACCTTCTGGAATCATCCAGCTACAGGTGCCCCGCCCGGCCCCTCTGGTGTGGCCCACAGTACTTCTGACAGTGATCCCCCTCAATTATCTTGGGGGGGGTCCTGGTTCTCTCTTAGGGGGTCTCTGTGGACCTTGCTATCACTTGAGAAAAGTTCTCTGTGTGTGTGTCTCTTGTTTATAGCATTTAAAAAGCACCCTTTTTTATACTATTTGAAGTCAGGTTTAAAGTCAGGTTAAAAGAAGGACCACAGGGGGGGGAAAGGGGAACATATGTAATACTTTCAACAATAAAGATTTAAAAAAAAAAAGGAAGGACCACAGTTGGACATCATGTGAAAGGCCCTCTACAAACTCCACAGCCTTGCCCATGTGCCTTCCAGGAAACCTTTCTTGATCTCCTCTTCCCCCAATTTGGAAGTCCCCTTTCTTTGCAATGAATACACATAAATTTGCATTCCTTCCTCATGAGTCCTATTGAAACCTAAGACGGTACTCCTTAGTGCCTAAGAGAAAGAGTTCATCAATGAATATGGACTGTCCAAGATGATTAGGTTATTGGACTGGTGGGCGATCTTTGTAGCTTCTTTTCCTCCCATTCACAAAAGAGCCACCCGAATTTGTTTACTTCTAAATTGAAGCATTCCTTCAGAGTGGAGGGTGAGAATGGCATTGCCTGTTACTGTACTGAAAAGATTCTTCCCAGACACCCACCCTAAGCTTGGGATCCAGAACAGAGCCAAGACACTTATGTGACTCCTTAAACAAGCCGTGGAGAGCTTGGGCTCCTTGGTCTTCTTTCGTTGGAAAGATTCAATCAGGGAGCGCTAGGGCCTGAGTTTCCCCAAAAGCCTTTTTTTAAAAAAATATATTTTATTGATTTTTTGCAGAGAGGAAGGGAGAGAGATAGAGAGTTAGAAACATCGATGAGAGAGAAACATTGATCAGCTGCCTCCTGCACATCTCCCACTGGGGATATGCCCGCAACCAAGGTACATGTCCCTGACCGGGATTGAACCCGGGACCCTTCAGTCCGCAGGCCAACGCTCTACCCACTGAGCCAAACCGGTTTCGGCCCCAAAAGCCTTTTGACAGTTTCTTTTAAAGGCCTAGGGCAGCGGTTCTCAACCTGTGGGTCATGACCCCTTTGGGGGTCGAACGACCTTTTCACAGGGGTCGCCTAAGACCATCGGAAAACACATATATAATTACATATTGTTTTTGTGATTAATCACTATGCTTTAATTATGTTCAATTTGTAACAATGAAAATACATCCTGCATATCAGATATTCACATTACGATTCATAACAGAAGCAAAATTACAGTTATGAAGTAGCAACGAAAATAATTTTATGGTTGGGGGTCACCACAACATGAGGAACTGTATTAAAGGGTCGCGGCATTAGGAAGGTTGAGAACCACTGGCCTAGGGGTTTTGCTCTAAAACGTCTGAAGTCTTCTCAGGGAATAAGCCAGTTACCCTGGGGTGCCTGGGTGTTGGGTAATGATGAAATCATTCTCCCTCCCTTTTCCTCACTGCTGCATATATAAAGGGAAGTAGCGGAGATTGTGACAAGAGAAACTGCATATGTACGTATGGAAGAGGGATCAGAAGAACTCTCTCTCTAGTTGACTGGCACTGGGAAAAATCATCTAATTCTTTGAACCTCATGGTTTTCAGGAGGTTTATCTGAATCAGAATTTTTATTTTATTTTATTTTTTAATATATTTTATTGATTTTTTACAGAGAGAAAGGAAGAGAGATAGAGAGTCAGAAACATCGATGAGAGAGAAACATCGATTGGCTGCCTCCTGCACATCTCCCACTGGGGATGTGCCCGCAACCCAGGTACATGCCCTTGACCGGAATCGAACCTGGGACCCTTCAGTCCGCAGGCCGACGCTCTATCCACTGAGCAAACCGGTTTTGGCAGAATTTTTAAATATAAGAGCCTTATGGGGGTGTCAAAAGGGGGTGTCTGTGAACCTTCTGAAATAGTATATACCATTTTTATGTATCCATTTTCATCAGATTATCAGTAGATAGAATACTAAATTGGAAGTTATCATAAGCTGAATGTTCAAGAGCAATAGAAATTTTTTATACTATTTTTTGATTAGTCAACAATTTTTTAAAGTATTCAAGTTATGCCTTTGTTCTGTTACAGGGGTATATCTCCAAAATTTTTAAGGCAATATACAAAGAACATGGTTGCAGGACCGCAGTTTTCCAAATAATTTGTCTCAAGTGTTTCTCTACATCCATCAACTCCATTTGGTTCACAATTCAGACATTGCCCATCATAGTGCCTAGCTTATGCTTTCTAAATTTCTGGTCCTTTTTTACTTTTGGGGGAGACTTTGGAGAAGCATGACTTTATGCAATAGTAATAGCTGATGTGGGTGTTTTTATTGTTGTTTTGTTTTTGAGGACTTTGCTAGTGTATCAGGCACGCTTCTAAGGGTTTAACATGATAACTTCTTTTTTTAATATATATTTTTATTGATTTCAGAGAGGAAAGGAGAGGGAGAGAGAGATAGAAACATCAATGATGAGAGAGAATCATTGATTGGCTGCCTCCTGCATGCCCCACAATGGGATCAAGCCCGCAACCCGGGCATGTGCCTTGACCGGTATCGAACCTGGGACCCTTCAGTCCACAGGCTAACAGTCTATCCATTGAGCCAAACCAGCTAGGGCAACATGATAACTTCTTTATCCTTATGACAATCCTATGGGATAAGTGCTATTAGTTTCCCAATTTTACAGATGAGGAAACTGAAGCTCAGAGAGGTCAGATAACTTGCCCAAGGTCACTCTTCTAATAAACAGCATGTTCAGGCTCTTAACCTCTGTACTGTACTGCCTATCACTCAGTGATGGATGGCTTTCATCACTCTTCAGAAAATGCTGTCTCTTATTGTAACAAAACAAAAATGCTTATGTATATGTATATTTACCCAGTTTATGAGATGGTTATATACCTCCCATTACTTTGTGATGCATACATATTCAATATATTTAGCTACTCAGAGTCAGGTCTTATTTCTTATATTGGGAGCATCTACTGCATCTATTATAACTGCTAGTTAAGATTTTGAGGGCATGATATTTTGCTCTTTCAGCTAATAGTAGCAATGAGAAATATTGTAACTGAAATCAGGGTTCGGCTGCATATCGCCACGAAAGCCATACTCATGAGACAGATGCTGGTGAAAAAAGAAAGAGGTTTATTCAGGTGTTGGCCACTTTTGTCCAAAGCCCATCTTCACACCTCAGTGCAGGAAGAGGTTTTTATAAGGAGGGAGAGGGAAAGCAGAACAGAGATCAAGGGGAGGAGGTTGAAAAGTTCTCTACATGCAGGCCAATACAGTTCATTCTGTTCAGGTGATGGTTTGGTGTGTGTCATCCCGGTTTTCATCATCCTGGTCTTATATCATCTTGGTTTTACATCATCTTGGTCTTTTTTTTTTATTGCTTAAAGTATTCATCTTGGTCTTATATCATCCTGGTTTTACTGTTGAAGGTCAGCAATTCTAGAGCCGTGATGACTGAATGTCAGAGTCTCTATCTTCTGAAGTTAGTTCCTAGGATTCTTGTACAAACACTAGAGGCCTGGTGCACGAAATTCGTGCGGGGGGGGGGTCCCCTCAGCCCAGCCTACACCCTCTCCAATCTGGGACCCCTTGGGGGATGTCTGACAGCCAGTTTAGGCCCGATCCCAGGGATTGGGCCTAAACCGGCAGTCGGACATCCCCCTCACAATCCTGGACTGCTGGCTCCTAATTGCTCACCTGCCCGCCTGCCTGGTCGCCCCTAACTCCCCCCCCCTCGCCAGTCTGGTTGCCTTTTAATGCCCCCCCTCTGCTGGCCTAGTCACCCCTCACGGCCCCCCTGCCGGCCTGGTCTTAGGCAGCCATCTTGTGAGGGCGTGATGGTTAATTTGCATATTACCTCTTTATTGTATAGGACGATGTTTACCTATAAGCTACATATTAGTCTGAGTCAGCATTTACAGAAACAATGTCAGAACAATGGTAGGGTGAGTTACAGTTGCCCACTGTTACAATATTAGCTTTCTCCAGTGAGCTTTTTATTTTTTTATTTTTTATTTTTTTATTTTAAATATATATTTTATTGATTTTTTACAGAGAGGAAGGGAGAGAGATAGAGAGTTAGAAACATCGATGAGAGAGAAACATCGATCAGCCGCCTCCTGCACATCTCCTACTGGGGATGTGCCCGCAACCCAGGTACATGCCCCTGACCGGAATCGAACCTGGGACCTTTCAGTCCACAGGCCGACGCTCTATCCACTGAGCCAAACCGGTTTCAGCTCCAGTGAGCTTTTTAAAATCCAATACATTCAGTTGCAGAATGCTAGTGTCTGAGAAGGCAGTATGAAGGACTGTTTCCTTCAATAAGGGATTTGAACCTACAGAAAATACGTAAAGTGAAACTGTGAGAACAAAAGAAAATGCAGCTCATGTTCTGAGAAAATGCAAACTAGAAGGTCAAGACTTAGAAGACTGAAATATTAATATACATATAAAAGTACAGAAGTGGAAGGTTTATTGTGAAAAAAAATAAAGCCAAAATATATAAGGTAGAGAGACTTATTACTTACTTGATTAAAGAATAAACACAAGTCCTGGCTGCCATAGCTCAGTGGTTGTGTCAGCCTATGAACCAGGAGGTTACGGGTTTGATTACTGATCAGGGTACATGCCCAGGTTTCTGGCTCAATACCCACTGTGGGGCAGCCGATCAATGATTCTCTCTCATCATTGATGTTTCTATCTCTCCTAACTCTCCCTTCCTCTCTGAAATCAATAAAAATATGTTTTTAAAAAAGAATAAACACAAAACCCAAACCCCAAATACTCCAACAAGTGTTCTGATCTTAGTGGGCCTGCAGGGGTTGTATCACAGCTAGTGTGATGACTGGATGGCTAAGGAGTTACATGTAGGTCTTACCAAATATTTTTACTGAGAGAAATTTCCTGAATGCTGTATATAATTCTAGAGAGAAATCTATAGTGAAGTTGGGCACTAAAGAAAATGAAAAATATACTTTATGTTGGGGCGGGGGGTGTCATCACTTGTTCTGGTACTAGGTAGTAAGAATTTACTAGTAACTTGAGCTAGAGTGAGTAACAGTATTTAGGGATCATGACCTCTTTAATACCTTGTCTTCTTTACCTGTGCTCTCAACAGATCAGTTTGTCAATCCCTGATACTATATATGTGTTATTCGTGATATGACAGTGTATGGCTAGGAGTCAACACTTAAAGCAATAGTGAATAATAAAAATCAACTTAAATAACTTATTTTGGGAGAATAGGGTAGGCACATTTGGATAATTAGCTTTTATTTTATTTCATTGGGGATTAGAAAATTTCTGCCTAAGTGAAATACTGTCTTTGAATCTGGAAAGGGTTAATTCTGTTTTCAAAGTTGATAAACTTATAATTGGGTTTAGCTTATCTGTTGAGAAAATATGGTGTGATAATGAAAAAACATATGTTCATAATTTATTCATTTACCAAATCAATTCTGGGCTTCTGAAGCTAATAAAATAGAAAGAGCAAGAATAAATCCATTAAACCTGGTTGATATCTTTTATGTGTTTTGTAGCTAGATACCTAATTGGTCTCTGTGCTCAAAAAATATTTACTCTGAGCCCTGGCCAGTGTGGCTCAGTTGGTTGAGTGTCGTCCTGTGCACAGAAAGATTGCCAGTTCAATTCCTGGTTAGGGCACATGCCTGGGTTGTGGGCTCGATCCCTAGTAGGGGATGTGGAAGAGGCAGCTGATCCATGTTTTGCTCTCTCTCCCTCTCCCTTCCTCTCTCTGTAAAAATCAATAAAAATATGTTTTTTAAATCCTCACCCAAGGATATTTTTCCATTGAGTTTTTAGGGAGAGTGGAAGAGAGAGGGAAAGACAGAGAGAGAAACATCGATGTGAGAGAAATACATCGGTTGGTTGATGGTGGGGAGGAGCCTGCAACCAATGTATGTGCCCTTGACCAGAATTGAACCCAGGACCCTTTGGTCTGCAGGCCGATGCTCTATCCACTGAGCCAAACCGGCTAGGGCCAATAAAAATATTTTAAAAAAAGAAACAAAGAAAAAATATTTACTCTGAGATTGATGGGTGCCAGAGGAGAAGGGGTTTGGGGGACTGGGTGGTGAGCGTGAAGGGACTGAGAAGTACAAATTTGTAGTTACAAAATAGTCACAGGATGTAAAGTATAGCAAAGCAAATATAGTCAATATTATTGTAATAACTATGTATGGTGGGTACTGAAAATACCGGGGGAATACTTTGTAAAATATATGATTGTCTAACCACTATGCTGTACACCTGAAACGAATACAAAATAATATTGAATGTAAGCTGTAATTGAAAAATAAAAAAAAGAAATGTTTACTCTGGTTGGAGAGATGATTTATAGAGTAGCCTTATATGCAAATGTGCATACACTGGAGAAATAAGTATAGCCCCCTAGAAGACAATATACAGTACAGTCATGCATTGCTTAATGACAGGGATAGTTCTGAGAAATGCTTTGTTAGGTGATTACGTCGTTGTGTGAACATTATAGATAGAATGAACTTACACAACACAAACCTAGATGGTACAGCTTACTACACTCTTAGGCTATATGGTATATCATGTCACATATGCGGTCTGTTGTTATCAAAATGTTGTTATTTGGTGCATGATTAGGCTAAGGATGTGGGACAGTCAAGTGCTCTGGGAGGAGGCGCAGGTCTTTGGGGTTGCCAGGGGAGAAGCCATGGAACCTACTTTAACACATTGTATGCAGGAAACGTATTTATACGTTTTACGTTGACTGGTAGCGTTGACTGGTAGTAGAGCGCGGGACACATATTAATACGTTTTTTATAGACTAGCGGTAGAATGTGGGTAACGTATAAATACGTAAACTAAAGTTACCATATTTTTACTGAACGTTGCCATTTGCGCAAAAAATTAGCAAAAGTGGCCCGCGCCACCTGTTAGCGCGCAATAAAAACTACCCACAAACAAATAAGTGTGTTTATTCTTGTTTTGCAGGCTTTGTACCTTGAGCAGGGGGCTGCTTACTCCTGGCAGAAGACTAACTCAAGGGTTCCAGAATCCTGAAAAACAGAGAGTCTTGCACATTCATGAAGGCAAGGGTGTTTACTTTTTAGACTCAAGTGGTTAAAAACCCTGTTTTATTTGGGAAGCATGTAGATAGATAATTCAGGGCAGATGAGGCATACTACAGGTAGATCTTTCATAAACTTCTTATTTATAAAATGACCAGGATAGCTGTGGGTAGAAATCACATTCAGAACCTTGGGGACTGAGTGCTTTTAGTAGTTAAGTGATTTCCACTTCCCATGTGTAGGTACTGAAGAGGAAGACACAGAAAAAAGAAATCTAATGCATAAATAAGAGATGGGTACTTTAGTTGTACCAACTAAATGCTCTTAGTACACCATTTTGTTAGAGGGACCCTGTTTAATCCATATTTAATTGAAATTAATTTCAATTATTAATCTGATATGCAAGTTATGGATGTCTTTATCAATTTAATAGTACTCATTATAATTAAAATTGTGGATTTTTTTTTTTTTTTTTTAAATATATTTTATTGATTTTTTACAGAGAGGAAGGGAGAGAGATAGAGAGTTAGAAACATCGATGAGAGAGAAACATCGATCAGCTGCCTCCTGCACATCTCCTACTGGGGATATGCCCGCAACCCAGGTACATGCCCTTGACCGGAATCGAACCTGGGACCTTTCAGTCCGCAGGCCGACGCTCTGTCCACTGAGCCAAACCGGTTTCGGCAAAAATTGTGGATTTTTTAAAGTTTTTTTAAAAATATATTTTTATTGATTTCAGAGAGGAAAGGAGAGGGAGAGAGAGATAGAAACATCAATGATGAGAGAGAATCATTGATCAGCTGTCTCCTGCACACCCCCTACTGGGGATCAAGCCCGCAACCCAGGCATGTGCCCTTGACCGGAATTGAACCTGGAACCCTTCAGTCCGCAGGCCAATGCTCTATCCACTGAGCCAAACCGGCTAGGGAAAAATTGTGGGTTCTTTAAAAGGTCTACATAAACATATATGTATAAATATAATTTAAAATTCTACTTTCCTTTTTGGCCCTCAGCACTGGCCTTTCTTCTTACACTGACTAAACTAGTAGTAATCGTTTTATGTTAGCGAGCATCAGTAGTCTGTATGCTGTTCCAGGTAGTTTCTGTTCATTTATTTAAGGAACTCAGGAGAAAAAAAAATCAGAAATAATACTAATTTACTAATTAATTTTTGTAGTTTTCTATGATTTATTTTATAGAGTTTGCACCAAATTTATGGGATATATATATAATTGACAAAAAAGTCAACCATGCCCTAACTGGTTTGGCTCAGTGGATAGAGCGTCGGCCTGCGAACTCAAGGGTCCCAGGTTTGATTCCAATCAAGGGCATGTACCTTGGTTGCGGGCACATCCCCAGTCGGAGGGTGCGGGAGGCAGCTGATTGGTATTTCTCTCTCATCGATGTTTCTAACTCTCTGGCCCTCTCCCTTCCTCTCTGTGGAAAATCAATAATAAAAAAATATATATATATATAAAAGTCAACCATTTTCCCATGTTAATCTTACCATATTTGGTTTTGCTCAGTTAGTTATTGAAGGACAAGGACCATTAATTTCCTGTACCTTGAGTATATATTGTTAAATGCTAGAAAAAAAAAACATGAACTCAACACATTATTTGAAATCCTAAAGATTTATTTTTTAGTTTTGAATCACAACTTCTTATCTAATTTATTTTCCCTTTATCCATATAGCATCTTCACCTTTACACGTGAATAATGGTGTGTGTGGTAATTAGTATCAACCAAGTGATTATTTTTTTATACTAATTCTTTCTTCTACTTTTGGGCAGTGGGCATTAACAAAAATTAAATTGCATTCTTTGCCTTCCCTTGATTTACATTTTTGCTTCATTTTTCTGACTTAAGCTTTTCTAACAATTAGCATAGTATACATAAGTATATGAGAAATCAATTAGAATGATACTCAGATTTGGATATTATTGTTAGTTCCTGAACTAATTTGATCTACTGCCTATAAGATAGATGGGGATTTTGTTCATAGTATCTCCATCAAAAAGGGACTCCTGTTAACACTGATATAGCCCCATCAATGAATAATTGGAATTATCCTTTTTTGTTTGCTTATGTAAACCCTAGTGATTGGCACAAGGGTATTCTTTTCTGTGCTAAGGAGACAATAGTTTCACGTTTTCAGGAAGCAGAGACCTGAACCCTTCTCTGAGCTATTTTTGTGGCATTAAATGAAAATTCATGGATCTTTAAAGCTTTTGAGTGCATGAATTGCTTTTCTTAGTTCTTGCACTTGTTGCCATCATTCTTATATTTCTTTGTTTCAAGGGATGTCCTCTTTATTTTTGTTTCAGTTCGAGATAAGCTGCGGGAAATAGTAGGAGTATCTACCAACTGGAGGTACGCACTCTTGTATATTCATTCTTTCATCCCTGAAGTTGTATGTGAGGCTGTAATTAGGCTCAGTTGATGGTCTCATTGTAGGGTGGGGGAGGGAGGAGCTGTGTATGGAAATAGATTGAAAGGTGCTTTTTTTACTTGAGGGAGAAGATCAACATTCCAACATGTTCATCAGTTGATGCATTGTTGCCATAAAATAATGTGATTTACATGTACTCCACATTTTTCTTTTTTTAAAAAATATATCTTACTGATTTTTTACAGAGTGGAAGGGAGAAGGATAGAGAGTTAGAAACATCAATCAGCTGCCTCCTGCACGCCCCCTACTGGGGATGTGCCCGCAACCAAGATACATGCCCTTGACCAGAATCGAACCTGGAACCCTTCAGTCCGCAGGCCGACGCTCTATCCACTGAGCCAAACCGGTCAGGGCTGTACTCCACATTTTTCAAAGTGCATTCAGGTATATTACTTCACTGGTTCTCAACAAGAGTTGTGAAAGGCTTATGGCATATGTTCCTATCCCTTTTTATGGATGATGAAACAGAAACTTCAAGAGATTCAACCATTATTAGGGTTTGGGACTTGAACCCAAGTTTCCTGGTTTTTCTATTTCATGCAGTCTGACTACTTTATTGCATCTTGTTAGTTCACAATTAACCAGGTTCTTTTTTAAGAAAAATATATTTTATTGATTTTTTTACAGAGAGGAAGGGAGAGGGATAGAGAGTTAGAAACAAAGATGAAAGAAAAACATGGATCAGCTGCCTCCTGCACACTCCCTACTGGGGATGTGCCCGCAACCAAGGTACATGCCCTTGACTGGAATCGAACCTGGGACCCTTGAGTCCGCAGGCTGATGCTCTATCCACTGAGCCAAACCGGTTAGGGCAACCAGGTTATTATACAGTCTTTCTCTTTCAGTATTTTCCTGATGTAAAATAGGATAGTGTTCCTCTTGGTGCACAGAATTTTGAGGCTAAAATGAGATAAAAAGTTCAAGTGATCACTAAGCATGCAATAATCTATTGTTGGTGCCCTGGCTGGGTAGCTCAGTTAGTTAGAGCATCATCCTGATATGCCAAGGTTGCGGATTTGATCTCCAGCCAGGGCACATACAAGAACCAAATAGTGAATGCATAAATAAGTGGAACAACAAATCAATGTGTCTCTCTCTCTCTCTCTCTCTCTCTCTCTCTCTCTCTCTCTCTCTCTCTCTCCCTCTCCTTCCTTCCCTCCCTCCCCCCCTTTTCCTCTCTCTCTCAAGTCAATAAAAATCATAACCCATTGTTGGTATAAAAGTCATCTAATGACTTCTTTATAGGAAAATTTCACCTTTCTAAAAACTAGGAAAAAGAATACCTATGTCCCGACCATCTGGATTGGATGCTTATTAACATTTTCCCAGATTTGCCAATATACACAAATTGGCTGAACTGTTTCTAAGTTAATTATAGCTATTACAACACTTCAGCACACATCTCCAATACATAAATATATTCTCCTATGTAACAAAATCAGTAGTCATGTATCTTCCACAAGGAAGACAGTCTGTAACATAATGAAATTGACAATAATTCCCTAGCAGTATATTACACATTTATATTCATAATTCCTCAACTGTTCCTCAGATGTCTTTTATAGCCCCCCCCCAAATCGCTTTCCCAGAATGCCCAGGTTTGCACATAAGTCTAGCTTTTTAAAAAGCATCAAGATCCAGCCCAGCCAGTGTGTCTCAGTGGTTGAGCATTGACCCAGCAGCCAAGAGGTCATCAGTTCAGTTCCTGGTCAGGCACATGCCTGGGTTTTGGGCTCGATCCTCAGTAGGAGGCATGCAGGAGACAGTTGATCAGTGATGTTTCTCTCTCATCAGTGTTTCTATCTCTTTATCCCCCTCCCTTCCTCACTTTCTAAAAAAAAAATCAATAAAAACATATTTCAAAAACAAAAACAAACCATCAAAATCCAATAAAGGATTGCATATTGCATTTGGTGGTTAGGACTCTTTAGTCCCCCCTAATCTAGAATAGTAGTTATCCCTCTGTCCCTTTTTTTTTTTTATCACCACAAGCTTGACTTTAAGGCCAACCCATTTGTCTTGTAGAATGGTCCACATTCTGGATTTACCTGGTGCCATTTAACTTATTCCTCTATCCCCTATATCTTTTGCAGGCTAAACTTTTCTGGCAATAATAAATACTTCTTAAGTGACGCTTAAAAAGACATCTTATTTTATTATTTTTTAAAATCCTCACCCGAGGACATTTTTCCCTTGATTTTTAGAGAGAATGGGAGAGAGAGGGGAAGACAGAGAGAAATATCAATGTGAGAGAAGCACATTGATTGGTTGCCTTCTGCACAAGCCCCAACCAGGGCCTGGGCCAGGGAGGAGCCTGCAACCGAGGTACATACCCTTGACTGGAATCGAACTGGGCACCTTTTGGTCTGCAGGCCGATGCTCTATCCACTGAGCCAAACTGGCTAGGGAAAAAAGATATCTTATTTAATGATATTGTAAACATTTTAGTTTCCTAGTCCCTTGTCTCTCTCTTCTCTTCCACCTTAATTGCCTCTTCTTTTTCCTTCCCTTTCTGTCTCCTCATATTCTCTTCTTCTTTACCTTTTGTTCTGCCTTCCATACCTCTTTTGGATATACTTCATTTTTCCTCTGCTATCTTTTTCCTGAAATTGACGGGAGGGAGGGAGGGAGGGAGGGAGGGGGAGAGAGAGAGAGAGAGAGAGAGAGAGAGAGAGAGAGAGAGAGAGAGAGGAGAGAGAGGAGAGAGAGAGAAAGGAAGAAGAGAAAATAAGAGAAGAGAGTTGGGGCACAGAGAATATAAGAACTGTCAAGTAGAGAAATGGGAATACGGAATTCAGTGGCCATGTCATTCTTTAACCCATGTATGTATATATACTATTGTGTCCCTCTCTATATTTTTACTTTGATTTCAAATATTTTATTATTTGAATACACTTTTTGATGAGGGTGAATAAATGGTTCATTTGGGTATATCCATATCACTTATAAGTATGTTTTTCCTATCTACTAGCCTAAGAAGTGTTAACAGAAAATTTTAATTTCACTAAGTAGCAGGTGTGAAGGGAGGGAAGGAAGAGGAGATGAGGTAGGCCCAGACCTCTTTCCTCCTTTGATGGTGCCTGTCTGGCCTGTGTACAACTGGGGTTGTGGGACAGCACTGCTCCTGTGTTTCATGAAGCTTTTGTCCTTTCTTCTCAGAGACCATATGAAAGCAATGGAGGAAAGAAAATTACTTCGTAGTTTTTTGGCAAAGTCACAGGAAGCACTGCCCCCCAGGAGAATGAAAGACAGTTATGTTGAAGTTCTCTTGCCTTTGGGCAGTCAGCCTGAATTACGAGAGAAATATTTGACTGTTCAAAATACCGTAAGGTAACATAGCACTGTTTTTATTTGTGTTGTTTGTTTGCCTTTATTTCATTTCCTTTCTTTATTGCAACTTTGAGATATCGTTCACACACCATACCATTCACTTATTGAAAGTGTGCAATTCTATGGTTTTTAGTATATTCAGAGAATTGTGCAGCCATTACCACAATTAATTTTTGAACATTTTCATCACCCCAAAGTGTGCTATTTATTTCTACAGAACTTATTTTCACTTAATTCTGTTTTCTTTATTTCACAGATTTGGCAGGATTCTTGAGGATCTTGACAGCTTAGGAGGTACTGGTATTATTTTAGTATTTCGAAATACTTAGACTAATACATTGAATCCTGTATCTAGAAAGGGATTTTTTATTAACTTGCACAGACGAGGATATTGTAAAAGAGGAGAAAAAGAACAGCTACTACCTCTGAATTGGCATAATTCCCCCCCAAAATGTGGATTCCTACTTATCAGTTAGAAACTGATTAATTCTCCTTTCTAATAACTTTTTTTTTTCTAATAACTTTTTAAAATGTCTTAAATTTACAGAAAAGTTGCAAACAAGTACAAAGAATTGTTCTTCCCTGAATCATGGAAGAGTATGTTGCTGACATGCATATCATCCCCAAATATTTTCATGTCTGTTTCCTACCAGTAAGGTCCTTCTCTTACCGAACCACAATACAATCATTAACATCAAGAAGTTAACACTGGTACATTAGATTGTCTAGTCCAGTGGTCGGCAAACTCATTAGTCAACAGAGCCAAATATCAACAGTATAATGATTGAAATTTCTTTTGAGAGCCAAATTTTTTAAACTTAAACTATATAGGTAGGTACATTGTTATTAACTTAATTAGAGTACTCCTAAGGCTTAGGAAGAGCCACACTCAAGGGGCCAAAGAGCCACATGTGGCTCGCAAGCCGCAGTTTGCCGACGACGGGTATAGTCCTTTGACGCCATTCAACTTTCACCCATGGGACTTTATAGTGGAAGGATCCAGCTCTGAATCATATGTTGCATTTAGTTGTCATGTCAGGGATAGTTCCTGTCTTTCTCTGACTTTTATGATCTTGACACTTTTGAAGTTTATAGGCCACTTCTTTTGTGGAATTTCTCTCCATTTGGGTTTGTTTGATGCTTCCCCAAGTTTAGATTGAGGATGTGCATCTTTGGCAGGAATGTCACAGAAGGGATGCTGTATTTTTATTGCATCTTATCAAGTGGTACATGATTCTAATTTGCCCCATTACCCTGATGTTAACTTTGATTCCTTGTTGAAGGTGGTGTTTGCCAGGCTTCTTCACTGAAGTTACTCTTTTCCCCTTTGTAACTAATAAATACTTTGAAGGGAGGTACTTTGGGACCTTGTAAATATCCTATTCCTCATCAGACTTTCAACTTACTACTTTAAAATCAGTATGGCCCTAGCCAGTTTGGCCCAGTGGATAGAGCATCGGCCCGCGGACTGAAGGGTCCTGGGTTTGATTCTGGCCAAGGGCACGTACCTTGGTTGCAGGCTCTGTCTTCTGTCCTGGTTGGGACACATGTGGGAGGCAACCAATTGATGTGTCTCTCTCACATCAATGTTTCTCTCTCTGTGTCTCTCCCCCTACCTTCTATTCTACCCGCTCTAAAAATCACTGGAAAAATATTCTTGGGTGAGGATTAACAAAAAAAGAAGAAGAAGAGGAGGAGGGGAAGGGGAAGAAGGAGGAGGAGGAGGAGGAGGAAAATAAAATCAATATGGACTCAGGGATTCCTATTTTATTGAATGGGTTATAATATGTTACCTGTACTATCATCTGTTTAGATACTCAAATTGTCCCAGGACTGGCCTAATCCATTCAAGCTAGCTTTTGTGGGTTTTTCTTGATGTGTCCCTATCATTTTTTGAGCACTTTCTGTCTTTCTGTGACATGGCAAGATGTTCTAGGTCAGTGATGGCGAACCTATGACACGCGTGTCAGAGGTGACACGCGAACTCATTTTTTTGGTTGATTTTTCTTTGTTAAATGGCATTTAAATATATAAAATAAATATCAAAAATATAAATCTTTGTTTTACTATGGTTGCAAATATCAAAAAATTTCTATATGTGACACGGCACCAGAGTTAAGTTAGGGTTTTTCAAAATGCTGACACACCGAGCTCAAAAGGTTCGCCATCACTGTTCTAGGTTCATTTGTACTTTCCCTGCCCCAGTCCTGGAATCAGCCCTGGTTCTTTTTAGTGGAGAATGATATTTATTTATTTATTTATTTTAAATGTTTATTTTAAAGAACGAGGAAGGGAGATAGTTAGAAACATGGATGAGAGAGAATCATTGATCAGCTGCCTCCCACTTGCCTCCTACTGGGGGTTGAGCCCATAACCCGGGCATGTGCTCTGACCAGGAATCGAACCGGGGACCTCTTAGTTCTTGAGTTGATGCTCAACCACTGAGCCACACCGGCCGGGCTGGAGAATGATATTTAGAAACCAAGGTCTGGGTGCTGGGAGGGGAGTGGTCATTGCTGCTGGGGTATGACTGTCCCCATGCCCTTTCATTGAATGAGCTGGGGAATGTATGCACATACACACATTTACCTCTGTGTTTATCTATCTGTCTGTTTCTGTGTGAAAACCAGGGGTTCATACTGATAGTTCCAATTCCACACCACAGTTTCGTTGTTATTTCTTTCCTTTTCATATTTGTAATTCCTTTCTCCAACTGGCTCCATTATCCTTAATATTTTACTTACTTGATTGGTTCCCCTGGATGTAGCCAATGTCATATCTCTGCCATCCCTCCCTCTCATGGCTGCTCCCCTCACTGGGGCCTACTCCATGCAAGTCCCTTTCTGCAGGTCACTGTCCTCATTGTGCTCAGGGTCACCATGCTGGGCCATCGCTCTTGTTACCTCTCTGCTTGTCCTCCTGACCCCACTTGGCTTTCAACATCCTGCTCTGGGCGACCTTGTTTACTCCTAACTAATGACTTGTGGATTGAACTATGGGAAAGGGTTTAAAGAAAGGCTTTAATAACTTAAAAAATATAGACGTAAGTCCATTGTTAGGCTTACACCTAGCTACTGTTGTCATCAGATTAAATAAACCAGGTTACAATTTCTTAATGGCCTTTAAGAAAATTAAACACACACGTTTGACTTTGATTTACATAAGTGTCCCTAAATTTACAAACTCCCCTGCCACTGCCCTGTTTTTTCTTCATTACCTCCTATTGGTGGCCAATCCCTTTCACCTGTTTACTTGATCCTATTTCTTCCATTTCTTCAAGGAACTTGCCTTATTACGTCTTTAAGTCTCTTTTTTAAAAAATATATATATGTTATTGATTTTTTACTGAGAGGAAGGGAGAGGGATAGAGAGTTAGAAACATCGGTGAGAGAGAAACATCCATCAGCTGCCTCCTGCACACCCCCCACTGGGGATGTGCCTGCAACCAAGGTACATGCCCATGACCAGAATCGAACCTGGAACCCCTCAGTCCGCAGGCCGACACTCTATCCACTGAGCCAAACCGGTTAGGGCTTTAAGTCTCTTTTATCTTAAAATGAAAAGTAGGCAAAATTCACTTCCCTCTAACACTCTCCAGCTGTCTCTTTCACTCTAGAACTAACTTTCTGGAAAGAACTAGAAAAAATCATATGCTCCTATTGCCTCTGTCTCCTGACCTCCTGTTATTTCCCAACCCTCCATGTTCTGGCTTCTCCTTATGCCACTGAACTGCTCTTGCCAAGCTCTCCGTTGGCCCCCTCATTGCATGATCTACTCTTCAGGGCTTACTCAGCTCCTTTGCGGCTCCTACTGCTGTCAGACTTGTCCTTGGGCTCAGGTGCCAGTTCCTCCTGTCTCTCGGGTTGCTCCTTCCTCTTCTCCTGTGTAGGCTCCTCTGTCTCTGTTGATCCCTTAAATGTCAGTTACCCTCAGGGTTTTGTCTTCTGCCCCCCCTTTTTTTGGTTATTTGCACATTCTCTAGAAATCATCTCCTTTACTCCCCATGCTTTAGTTGATAAAGTATGGGGAATATAGTGGGGCCTTGACTTACGAGTTTAATTCGTTCCGAGACCGAGCTTGTTAAGGAGCTCGTTAACTCAAGTTACTCTATCAACTCAATGCAAAAAATCGGCCGAGAGACAGCTGGTATCTCAAAAAACTCCTTAGTCGGGACACTCGTAAGTCAAGGCCCCACTGTACTTAGGAAGGTACATTTCCTGGCCTACTTTTCTGAGTTCTAGACCTAGACCAGTTCTAGACCAGTTTGTCCTATCTCCTGGACATCTTCATTTAGATGGGCCAGAGACTTCTCGAATTCAACATGTGGAAAACAGCCCCTTTTCCTCTTCCTGTATTATCTTTTTCAGTGAATAGTATACCATCTTCATTCATGCCAGTTGGAAACCTGGCTTTAGTCAAGTCTCCCTTCTTCTTAGCTCTTAGATCTTTTCTCTTTATTTCCACTGCTCTTAGACGACTATGTTTTTTTGGGGGGGGGTGGTTACCACAAAGGCTTTTAAATGAAATTTCTTTGCCTTTAGCTTCTCATTCCCCCAGTGCATCCTTTAGCAGGTGCATGGATGGAAGAATTCATTGTCACACAGCAAATACTTATTGAGCACACACCCAGTCCTGTTGGTGGTAAACATTTGAATGAATCATGGGGGAAGCAGGGAGGCCACGAAATACAGAAGTATAATGATATTTGTAAGGTGCATAGAACCATACTTGGCACATACAAATGGTTGCTAAGTGATGGAAAGTATACAGATAGCCACAGAGTGTTATGGGGAAGGTGGGGTAATGCTGAGTGAATTAATTGCTTCATGATTAAGAAAGAGTCAGGAGAAAAACAGGTAGCGGAGTCCCTGTGATTGTTTTTCTTTTCTGAAGATGTTTGATGCCATCAGACTTGTGTGCTGGGGTCTTTCTCTGACGTAGGCACTGTGTCTTTCTGGACTGGTGACAAGCCACCTGATGGGCCTATGCTTTGGGCTTCAATTTCCTCACCAAATCAGAAACTGATTGGACAGTTAGATTAGAGGATCCTCAGATTTCTTCAGTGTATAAAAGTCTTGGGTCATAGGATAAGACCACAAGTGGGACATGGGGGGTTGGGTCTTCAAAACAATATAAGACTTTTTCTAGATCTCAGGAGTGAATTGTAAATGTTGAAAAGTAATTCTACTTTGCTTTTATTTGGTTCTCTTCTGTTTTCCTACAGTTCTTATTTGCTACATGCACACCAAAGTTCATGAAGCTAAGATGTCTCCTTTATCGATAGTTACAGCCCTGGTGGACAAAATTGGTAAGTGATACTATTTTCTATGCATACTTAAAATTCTTAAAAATTACAAGATATTATTTTTAAAAATTTAAATCATTTTTTATTTTTCAATTACAGTTGAAATACAATATTATATAGTTTCAGGTGTGCACCCCAGTGATGAGACATTATATAACTTAGTAAGTGATCATCCTGATAAATATTGTATCCATCTGATACCATACACAGTTATTAGAATACTATTAACTGTATTCGCTATGCTGTAATTTACATCCCCATGACTATTCTGTAACATGCAACGTAATTACAAGATATTATTGAGATTAAAATTTTATGGGGGAATTTTTATGCATGTGGAAATGTCTAGAATGCTACATACAAAAATATTTATTATAATTATCTTTAGGTGGAAGGATTTTGTGTGGTTCCAGTTTTTTTTTTTTTTATATTCTTTACATTGTCTACATTTTAAAAAAAGACATACAGCCTGGCTGGCGTGATTGAGTGGTTGAGTGTCGACCTATGAACCAGGAGGTCATGGATGGATTCCTGATCAGGGCACATGCTTGGGTTGCAGGCTTGATCCCCAGTAGAGGGTGTGCAGGAGGCAGCCGATCAGTGATTCTCTCTCATCAGTGATGTTGCTATCTCTGTCTTCCTCTCCTTTCCTCTCTGAAATCAATAAAAATATATTTTAAAAAAAGACATACAAATTTCTTTTGTGTGTCAACAAAGTCATTATTTTTGGAAGACAAGAAATGTAGTGGAATTTACCAACATTTCAAACGAAATGGAATTTACCAACATTTTAAATGAAATTCTCCATTTGCAGCACAGGAAAGTTTGGGTGTCGTTTGAACTCAGATTGATTTTCTGTTTTGCAGATATGTGTAAGAAGAGCTTAAGCCCAGAACGGGACATCAAGTTCACTGGCCATGTTAGCTGGGTTGGGAAGACATCTATGGAAGCGAAGATGCAAATGTTCCAGGTGTGTAAGCACCTAAAGATGGCCCCTTTGTTTCAATACAACCCACTAGTCTTAGTTAAAGGAAAGCTTATTTACCTGTGTGTCTGTAGACAGGTATGTAGCTCACCACTTCTAGAAAAACTATTGAAAGTTCAGGTCGCACAGATGGTGAATTATTAATATCCTCCTCCTGGACAAAGACCGATACATTATTTGGTGTTTATGTTTAGTGTTTATTACTTTCAAATCATTTCAGCTCCATGGTAAGGTGCTTGCTTCTGCTTTTGTGTGGAGAGTTGCACAAGTGTCTGAGTTACGTTAGGCATGCATGGGATTGGTCAGTGTGTTAGTTTTCTAGGGTTGCTATCACAAAATACTATAAACCAGATGGCATAAAACAGCAGAAATGTATTTTCTTACAATTTGGAGGATAGAAGTCCAAGATCAAGGTCTCGGCGGGATTCTCCCTCTAAAATCTGTAAGGGAGAATCCTTCCTTGCTCATTCCCAGCTTCTGGTAGTTTGCTGCCAGTCCTTGGCATTCCTTAGCTTGTAGCTGTAACCCTTCCATTTCTGCCTCATTATTACATGGCATTTCCTCTTGTGCATCTGTGTCTCCGTGTCTCTTCTCCTCTCTTTATAAGGACATCAATAATATTGGATAAGGACCCACCCTACTCTAGTATGGCCTCATCTTAACTGATTATATCTGCAACAACTCTATTTCCAAATAAATGCGTGTTTATAGATACTTCAACATATATTTTTGGGGACACAGTTTAACCCAGAACAGACACTTAGACTATCACAGCAGTTAGGAACCGCTAATGAGCAAAACATAGAATAGCTACTATAAAGAAATGGAGAAATTTGACAAGGAAAACTACCTCAAAGGGGATAATAGCACAGAAATCAAATAGTTCTGCATATGTTTAAGATTTTATTATGAAAACTTAAGAATGACTTTTTTAGTTTAGCCAGGGTATTGGCTAAACCTGTTATTCAGATACATTTTTGTTGTTGTTGTTACAGAATTTTGAAATACTTCACCTTTTGGAAAAAGTTTGAAGCTTGCTCTGCAGTAATTAAAGTTATTTGCCAAAAAAAAAAGTTGTCAAAGCCCTGGTCGGGTGGCTCAGCTGGTGAGAGCATCATCCCGCACACCAAAAGATTGTGGGTGTGATTCCTGGTCAGGGCACAAATCTAGGTTGCAGGTTCTATCCCCAGTCAGTATGGGAGGCAGCAGATTGATGTTTCTCTCTGCCTCTCTCTCCCTCTCTCCCTTCCTCTCTCTCTCTAAAAAAACAACAATAGTTATTTGTCAAAAATAGTTAAGTCGTTTTTTAATCCTTACCCAAGGATATGATTTTTAGAATTGATTTTAGAGAGGAAGGGAGAGGAGAGAGAAACATCGATGTGGGATTGGCTGCCTCCCATACCCACCCTGACTGGGGATTGAACCTGCAACCTTTCAGTGTGTGGGGCAGTGCCCCAAATAACTCATCTACCTGGGTAGTGCTTAAGAAGTTTTGTATTTGATGCTATATGTAAGCGGTTGGATTCTGTAACTCCAGTGCAGCTGTAACTGACGGTAGTACTGTTTTTAAAACAAAACACAATAAAGTTGGGGATCTGTATGATTTGTCCACACACTTTTTAAATCTTCATGGTTGGTTCCTAGTGCCACGTGCAGCAGATTGCTGGCATCGGACCAGCTTTCTAGGGAAACTTGACAATTTGAATCTTGGACAAGTCGATTAAAAAAGAGATACAGAGATTATTAGGAGGAGAGACCCAATGAAAATCAGTGTTAGGCAAGTACGAACTTTTGTTTTTAATTTTCATTTCTCATTGGCTATTTTGCCTAATAACTCATTACTTGAGTGGTCCTTTCCATTCCAGAGAGGAGCTTGGCAATAGGTGCCTCTGGTTTGTGTGCATGTAGGTTCAAATCCCAGCTCTGCTGCTTATTAGCCACGTGACTGTGGGCAAATCACCTTCCCTGAGCCTCTGTTTTCTCAAGTGCAATATGGAAGCGGTAACAGTACCATATTATATGGTGTGGTACAGATGAAATGGAAAACATCCCACCCATATGAAGAACTTGTTACGTTGCCTGTCACACAGTAACTACTAATCACATGTTGACAATAGTGCTAATTTATTGTTACTATGGAGATGATCCCAAATCTCTGTTCTGGGCTTGACCTTCAGACCTAACTTTCCAAGCACCTATTATATCTCCCCCTACGCGGGCTCTTGCTACCTCCAGTCCAGTGCGTTTTAAATTGAGTGTCAGCTTCCCTTCTAATCCTGATCTTCCTTCAGTGTTTCCCCTTTGTCATCCTCCTGGTTTCCCAGCTGCATACCTTTGTGATAGCTTAAATTTTTCCCTTTCCTGTGCAGCCTTTTGCCAAGTTTTACAAATTCATCATCCTCCGCAACTCACCATGGTCCTTTCTCCCCCTTGTCCTTGGCCCCTGTGTCCTGTTCAAGCCCCCACTGCCTCTGTGTGAGTACCTGAACTGTCTTTCAGTTAGTCTGCCGGCCTGTTGCATGTTTTCACCCTCTGTTCATTTTATACATTTTTATCAGATAGACCTTCCAAAGCTGATCTTAAATCACATCACTCTCCTTCTAAAAACCTTGACCATTATCTGCTCATTAAAGTCTAAACTCCTTTGACTAGTTAGGATCCAAGGGTCTCTGAAAACTAGCTCCAACATCACTTAAATACCTTCTTAGAGCATCTTTGAGCATCCTGAGAGTAGGGAGTTGTTCATTTTGGCATTCCCGATGCTTGGCGCTAGTAGGTGTTCATTATAATAAACCAGTAAGCAAGTGGCTGATATCATTGCTTATGCTTTTTCCTTTTCCTGAAATCCTTGTGTTCTGGCTCTGCGCATCCACATTCCACATGTGCTTCCAAGTCACTCCATGCTCGAATCCTTCCCTGGTCCTCTAGCTCATAATACCTGTTCCTTCCCATGATGCCTTCCTCAGAACCCTTTCTCTGACCTGCTGACCTCTGCTCCTCAGAGCTTCGTAGGAACATGTTTTCTCTTCTACTAGGTCACATGCTTCTCAACAGCAGGATCTGGGTGTGAGTCACCAAGCCCACTTCCTGACGTCCACTCATTTAACAGTTCACTTAGCAATCATTTATTGCCTGCCATTCTGTGTTAGGTATACAGCCGTGAGCAAAACCCAGTTCCATTTTCTTGGAGTTTTCATTTTGGTAGTCCTCAATAATTACCTACCTTGATTCACACATTGGCTGTCAATGATCAGGTATCTGCTATAGGCAGTCTTTGTGCTAAGTGCTTAGGGTACAAATGTCAATGAAAATGGCCTTTGTCCTCAAGGAACTCATGATGCAATGGGGAGGCGGCCACTTAAATAAATGATCATGGTACAGTATATTAAGTATGATGCAGCATTTCTCAACAGGGACACTATTGGCATTACATGTGGGAAAATTCTCTGTTCTGCAGGACTTTCCCCCTGCATTGTGAAGTGTTCAGCTCCTTGCTCACCCCCATCCCACTAGTAATGCCTCCCAAGTCATGTGACAACCCTACACATTTCCAAATAACTCTACAGGGGTGAGAACCACTGTCAGGAGAGGACTTTGCATTTAGTGGCAAACAAAGGAGGGAATGATGAGTTGTGTCTGGGGCGAAGGGATGCGTGTTTACTGACTGGGCCGCGAGGGGGGGGGCGGAGTGGTAGTGATGAATGTAGCCATGAGGAAGGCATCAGGCGAAGGCATGGAACAAAGGTATTCAACAGCATGGTCCATTCCAGGGCCTCCAAGTGGTTAGCCGTGGCTGGGGAAAAAGGTGCGGGTATGAGGAAGTGTTTGGGAACAGCTGGAGAGGAATTTGGGCTCTGGTGGAGGGCTGTATATACAGGGCCAACAGGCTTTGAGCAGGTGCTAGAAGAATGTCAAGAGGGCAGGTACTAGGGCCCAAACAGGTGTTAGTGACGAGGACTAGTGATGAGGAAGGAACTGAATGGACCCTCAGGTTATGATAGGACTTTATGATATGATTGTCCTGGAAGTACAGACTTCTAAGGGATAAAGAAACACCTTAAAACCTCAAAGGCTTTTGTGCATTGTAAGTATTTAGCTTCATCCACAGATTTGTCACTGATCTTATTCCTTCTTGGGAGCCCCTGTGCTCAGCTAAAGAATCCTAGACGTGTTGGTAGTTGGCACACTAAGGTTCTTGAAAATGCTAATGTCTATGAGAGTGGCGGGAGGTCCACCTGGCTCTGAAGCAGGACAGTGAAATGATGATGTAGTAGGTCCTTCTGTGACCCCTGTTGTTGGGTCCCAGTCAGGCTCAGCTCCGCAGCCTCTAGCTCATGTCCATCCCAGCATGTCCCGCAATACACTGTTTGGAATTTTGGGGTGTCTTTCTCCTGCTAGACCACAGGTTCCTGGTCACGCTGCTATCCCCACACAGAGCCTAGTTCTGTGCCTGGAAACTCAGCAGCTGGTGGTTCATGAATGCACTTCTCTTTTTGTTTCTTTTAAAAAAAATTGTTGAGGGTATTACAGATGTCCCCCATTTCCCCCCCCTTTGCCTCCCTCCTCTGGACTTCTGCCCCACCCCAGGCCTTCACCGCACTGTTGTCTGTGTCCATGGGCTATGCATATATGTATATAAGTTCTTTGGTTAATCTCTCCTCCTCCCTCACCCCATATCCCCTCTGAGGTCTGTCAGTCTCTTGCATGCTTCCATGTCTCAGGATCTATTTTGTTTGTCAGTTTATTTTGTTCATTAGATTCCACATATAAGTGAGATCCTGTGATAACCTGTCTTTCTCTGACTGGCTTATTTCACTCAGTATAATAATTTCCAGGTCCATCCATGCTGTCTCAAAGGTTAAGAGAACCTTCTTTTTTTTACAGCTGCATAGTATGCCATTGTATAAATGTACCACACTTTCTCCTCTTTTTCTAATTGCTGCCTTTCTCAAAGCATGCACGCTCTCTGTTGGAATTGTAGCAGGTCTTCCCAGGAAATGCATTTCTTACATCTGCATTTTCTTTCCTTTGTTCTTTAGTTACAAGACAGTGAATTTTGTCCTGTTTTGGAAGCAACATTTGTAATGGTGGCCCGTGATTCTGAAAATAAGGGGTAATTGTTCTTTTTTTCTAATTCTTTATTTTGAAGATACATAACACCAGAGAGAAGAGCATAATGAATGTCTATATGCCCATCACCTACACTTAAGAGTTTTAATATTTTTGCCATATTTGCTTCATCTGTTTTTTTAAAGTATATTATTTTCTTTATAATATTTTAAAGCAAATCCCAGACATAATGACATTTCACCTCTAAAAACTTTAGTTTAGGCATCTCTTAAAAAATGAGGATATTTTTTCCTGGCTGATGTGGCTTGGTGGTTGAGGATCGAGCCATGAACCAGGAGCTTGGTTCAATTCCTGATCAGGGCACATGCCCGGGTTGTGGGCTCAATCCCCAGTAGGGGGTGTGCAGGAGGCAGCTGATCAATGATTCTCTCTCATCATTGATGTTTCTCTCTCTTTCTCCCTTCCTCTCTGAAATAAAAAAATGTATTAAAATATTTTTTTAAATGAGAATATTTTCTTAAATAACTACACTACCATTAGCACACCTGACAAAAATACTAGTCAGTCCTTAGTATATTCCAATAATTCATATTCCATTTTCCCCAAATATCGTTTTAATGATTTGTTCAAATTAGGATACAAACAAAGTCCACATATTATATTTGATTTTTATGTCTCATAAGCCTGTTTTGTTGGTTAATAGCTTCAGTGAGATATAATTCACATATAGAATTCACCCATTGAGCCCTGACTGGTTTGGCTCAGTGGATAGAGCGTTGGCCTGTGGACTGAAAGTTCCCATGTTCGATTCCGGTCAAGGGCATGTACCTTGGTTGCGGGCACATCCCCAGTGGGGGGTGTGCAGGAGGCAGCCAATCGATGTTTCTCTCTCATCGATGTTTCTGACTTTCTATCCCTCTCCCTTCCTCTCTGTAAAAAAATCAATGAAATATATTTTTTTAAAAAAAGAAACAAAAAGTCAGACCCTGGTTTGAATCTAACCTATAAAAAAAAAAGAATTCACCCATTGAAAGTGTACAATTTTGTGGATTTTAGTGTATTCACAGTTGTGCAGTCTCTAGAGGTTGTTTAAATCCAGAATAGTTGTGTGTCTCCACTGTTCTCCTCTTTTTCCCCCCACTCAGACCCAAAGTATCAACACTCACTAGGTGAGCTGCTGTTGACACAAAATGTTAACATCATTGCATGCATCCTTATTGTTTTATCAACTCATTGAAAGGCCCAATGGGTTCTTCTAGACCAGGGGTGGGAAACATCCAGCCCGTGGACTGTATAAGGCTTGAGAAATTATTTGGCCTGGCCCTGCCAAGGCAGTAGGGGTGAGTTCATTAAATGTTTGACCAAATAGAGCAGGCTCATTTTTAAACTGATAATTTTGTATGGCCTGCGAATGATGTCATAAATATCCTTGGCAGAAAAAAGGTTCCCCACTCCTATTCTAGACAATGTCCAACTTTCTGGATTTTCAAGAAAAAAAAAATACCATGAGGAAGCATGGACTTGTTTCTTTATTCCTAGTATTTTCTATAAACTGAAGTTAGAGCTAGAGCCTTGATTAGATTCAGGTTCAGCTTATTGGGTGAGAGCACTTCATGGGTGATGCTGTGTATCTCGTGTCTTGTATTGCGTCATATAAGGAGGTATAGATGGTCTCCCTCCTAGCGATGCTAAGATTGATGCGTGGGCTCAAATAGTGACAACCTGATCTTGCCACTGTCAAGTTCAGATTATCCGCTTATGATCAGCAATGATCTACAGGGCAGGGTGTATCCAATGTATATTTTGTCATCCTGCACATAGCTAGCTCCCCATCCATCTTTTTCCACGGCTCTTAATGCCCTTTGTTGATCATTGCTTTAATCATGTGGGAGTGTAAAAGGATTCTCAAATTCTGTCATTCTTTCAACATTTATTAGCTGGAGTTCTGTGAAGAAGAGCTGTCCCTTATCAACTAGGGCAATTTGGTTTGTAAAGGGAAGTAAGATGAATGTTTCATTCCTGTGTTTTACTTACACAATTGCCAAAGAATGAGCTAGTGACAGCATGGTTTTTCTACTTTTTTGGTTTTAAAAAAAAAAGTATCATTATGAATGCATGGATTTTAACATATAAATGTATTTCCACGAGTTGTAGCCAGTGCTCTTACCGCTCAGAGTATACTCTCTTTGGTCAGTGGGAGCCCCTTTAAGCTGCCTCCTGTGATAAGCCCTTTTGACATTTCCCCATTGGTTTTTGATACCTGCCTGCTCTCTGGTGCAACGAGTTATCTTGGGCTCATCTTACACATTTCCTGCCCCAGGCCTAGAAACAGCCATTCCCCCAGGAGTCCTGGGGTTCCTTTTAGTGGGAACTGGTATTTAGAGACCAAAATCTAGGCACTAGAACTGTATTGTTACTAGTTTATCATCATGTCTAGGCCTTTTTAGTGGACAGAGCTTGGGTGTATATTATAAAGCAAATAAATAAACAACCTCATGAGTTTATAGTGTCATTTTCAAGTTTAATTGTACAAGCTTTAACTCATTTGGCTTTCTACGTTATCTTTTTTCCTCTTAAATTGATTTATTGGTTCCTAACAACAGTTCCACCCAAGGCCTTCAAACTGAGAAAAACCATCTAATTGTGTTGGGGGGGAGCAGGGTGGGAGAGAATGTTACAGGATTGCTGTTTGTACAGGACAGTCTAGAGCAGTGGTTCTCAACCTTCCTAATGCCGCGACCCTTTAATACAGTTCCTCATGTTGTGGTGACCTCCAACCATAAAATTATTTTCGTTGCTACTTCATAACTAATTTTGCTACTGTTATGAATCTGATATGCAGGATGTATTTTCATTGTTACAAATTGAACATAATTAAAGCATAGTGATTAATCACAAAAACAATATCTAGTTATATATGTGTTTTCCGATGGTCTTAGGCGACCCCTGTGAAAGGGTCGTTCGACCCCCAAAGGGGTCGCAACCCACAGGTTGAGAACCGCTAGTCTAGAGGCCTTTGGGGAGTCTAATTTGTATTAGAAACTTGAGTGAGGAGTTTGCAATGAGACGTCATTTCTGTGTGAAAAGCTGACATGGAAAATGTGTTAAGATTGAAAAATACCTTGGCGACTGGTCTGAGAGAAGAATGCACCCATCTAGCTTCAGTCCTCCCACCGTCCCCAGCTGACCTGCTTGCTGCTCTGGTGCCTGGCCTGGGGCTCCTTTGCCAGCACTGGGGGGCATTACTTAAAATTCCTCTCCCAGCTGATGTATTTCAGTTTCCCAAACTGCCATTTCAGGTCTTTTGTTTCCATTGTTGTTTCATCAAACTTTTGGATTCTACCACAGTGAAATACTATGTTCCTTTTTGCTCAGTTTTCTATTTTAAAAAATTTGACACCTACAGAAAAATAGAATAATGCATTGAACACTTATATATACCCTTTACTTAAATTCGCCAATTAATGTTTTGCCACCAACCTATTTTCCCGTCCTTTATAAATATATATACACATTCCCCCCTGAATCATTCGAAAGTTTGAGACTGTTTCACCCATAAATAGTTTAGCATATATCTCCTAAGAATAAGATAATTCTCCTACATAACCTCACTGCTTTTATTATACCCAAGAAATTGAACAGTGATATAATTGTATTATGCAATATATGATCCATATCCAAACTTTGCCAATTGTCCCTAAAATATCCTTTATGGTTTCTTCCCCTGAGGCAGATCTAATCAAGGATCATGTATTGCAGTTGGTTACCATGGTTCTTTAAATTAGTCACCCTGTCATTTTCTGTCTTGACATTTTTGAAGAGTCGAGTCCGGATGTCTAGTAGGATGTTCTGCAACCAATTTTGACTGCTTCCTTGTGATTAGGATCAGGTGAAACATGTTGGCAAGCAGTCGTGTCCTTTTGATTATGTGAACTTCCTACTGTGCAGATGGGTCTGTAACCAGAAGCCTCCTCTATTTTTCCAGAGTCCTTGTGTGAAGCAGTCAGTAAGCGTTATTCAAAATGAACAGCAGCTGAAACCGGTTTGGCTCAGTGGATAGAGCGTCGGCCTGCGGACTGAAAGGTCCCAGGTTCGATTCCGGTCAAGGGCATGTACCTGGGTTGCGGGCATATCCCCAGTAGGAGATGTGCAGGAGGCAGCTGATCGATGTTTCTCTCTCATCGGTGTTTCTAACTCTCTATCTCTCTCCTTTCCTCTCTGTAAAAAATCAATAAAATATATTTAAAAAAAAATGAACAGCAAAGTCCTGCTGGTGTGGCTCAGTGCTTGAGTGTTGACCTACGACCTACGAACCAAGAGGTCACAGTTCGATTCCTGGTCAGGCCACATGCCCGGATTGCAGGCTCAGTCCTCAGTAGGGGGCATGTAGAAGGCCGATCAAATATATTTTTTAAAAATGTTATTATCTAATAAAAATGGAAGATTAACTATTACCCACCAGTTTTCAAGTCTTTGCTGTTTGCTTGTTTTTTAAAGAATACTTTAAAATATATTGTCATTGATTTCAGAGAGGCAGGGAGAGAGAGAGATAGAAACATCAATGATGAGAGAATATCATTGATTAGCTGCCTCCTGCATGCCCCCCACTGGGGATCGAGCCCGCAACCCGGGCATGTGCCCTTGACTGGAAACGAGTCCAGGACCCTTCAGTCACAGGCCAACATTCTATTCACTGAGCCAAACTGCCTAGGGAAGATAATAACATTTTAATTTATACTCTTTTCTTCTCTTTAGGTCGGCATTTGTAAATCCACTCATCCCTGAAGGCCCTAAGGAAGAAGCGCTCTTTAGACAAGGAGAATGTATATTAATTTTTTATAATAAGATAAACTTTTAAAAGCACATTAACTGTACTGCAGAAGAGATTATTTTTAAGAGTATGCATGGACTCATATTAGTCAGGTGTCTTACTCATTCCAAGAATTTATTGAAATTAAAAATACCTTATTTTTTGTTCCATGAAGTTCATACTTTGAACAATTTTATCAATCAGCCAATATTTATTAATTGAAGTAATTTTTTCTCATTGTTCATGAAATGGTAAATGTAGCTTTAATGAAATAACTTGGTTGGGGCTCTAGGTCAGGATGATTATAGCTGGTTTTACAGTGAGCTGATACAATTTCCTTGTGAAAGCAAAGAATCACAGAAAGTTTTTATGAGCCGTATGGACAATTTCCAGGGGGATTGTTACAGTCTAGAAGTACAGCCCAGTTCAGAAACCCCAGTGTGCAGTGTGACCCTCCTAACCATGGTTCCTTATTGTCCCATATTTCAGTGAACAAGGGGAGAAGGGTTGCCTTCAGCTCTATGTCATTACTGAAAATGGCTCCCAGTGCTGAGGAGAGGACGACCATCCATGAGATGTTTCTTAACACACTGGATCAGAAGTAAGTTAGGCTGGCCCGGCCAGCGTAGCTCAGTGGTTGAGCATTGACTTATGAACCAGGAGGTCACAGTTCGATTCCTGGTCGGGGCACCTGTCTGGGTTGTGGGCTCAGTCCCCAGTGGGGGGAGCATGCAGGAAGCAACTGATCAATAATTCTCATCAGTGATGTTTCTATCTCTCTCTCCCTCTTCCTTTCTCTTTGAAATAAAGAATATTTTAAAACAAAAAGTAAGTTAGGCTGGTGAGATTCCACATTAGGATGTATTAATACTTGGTGTTCTCCATAGCCAGGCTTGCCTGAACATATTGGAAATTTTTTGCAAATATTTTACTTTTTAGCAGCTAAACCATGGCCCTAATAGGGTTTACTGATTCTCTATTTGCACAGGACTATAAGTTTTCAAAGTCGAGTTTTGCCCCCTAATGCAGTATGGATGGAGAAATCAAAACTGAAGAGCTTGGAAATTTGCCACCCTCAGGTATTGTGATATGGTGAAAAACCTAAATAGGATAACTTGCATCCATGATATTCATCTAAGACAGCGGTTCTCAACCTGTGGGTCGCCAACCTGTGGGTCGCGACCCCTTTGGGGGTCGAACGACCCTTTCACAGGGGTTGCCTAAGACCATCAGAAAACACATATATAATTACATATTGTTTTTGTGATTAATCACTGTGCTTTATGTTCAATTTGTAAAATGAAAATACATCCTGCATATCAGATATTTACATTACGATTCATAACAGTAGCAAAATTACAGTTATGAAGTAGCAACGAAAATAATTTTATGGTTGGGGGTCACCACAACATGAGGAACTGTATTAAAAGGTTGCGGCATTAGGAGGGTTGAGAACCACTGATCTAAGATATGATATCTTTAAACTGGTCTCTGTTCTTTGGCATTATTAATTCCTTTGTTCTGTATATGAGGGTGGCCATGATCTTGTATTTCCTATCATTCATTTTATGCCCTATAGGAGAGGAATATTTTCAATCGGATCTTTGGTGGTTTCCTTATGAGGAAAGCATATGAACTCGGATGGGCTACTGCTTGTAACTTTGGGTAAGTTAGATTTAAGGTAGTATTGACTTCTGAGAAGCAATTTTTACTACCCCACTGAAATGAAACATTTTGGACCAGTCTGGATGTGTTGGGGAATTTGTTGTGTTTTTAAAATAAATATCACACTTATACCAGCTGGGTTTGATCCTCATTTTAGAAGCCTGTTACTCTGACTAGGTAAATTAGTACATTACAGGCATACCTCGTTTTATTGTGCTCCACTTTATTGCACTCCACAGATGTTGTGTTTTTTACAAATTGAAGGCAAGACCTTCCATCAGCAAAAAGGTTATGCCTCGCTTTATTTCAATGCTTATTTATTGCGGTGGTCTGGAACCAAACCTGCAATATCTCCGAGGTCTGCATGTAAAGACCTATGAGAAAGGGAGGTGATAATATGCTGAAGGGAAAAGATACAGTGACTTTGGCACTGATCTCGTCACAGTGACATGTCTTACCATTCCTCGCTGGTATGACTGCTTTCCCCTTCTCTAGGTTTATTCTTTGATCATTTAAATTTTGCTTCAGTCACTTGTTAGGGAAAAAATAGCATCTGAATTTTACACTTGACCCCAAATTCTGCCTTTCCCAATAGTGGTTCCCGACCATTTGTCGTGGCGGTAGATGACATCATGTTTCAGAAACCTGTTGAGGTTGGATCATTGCTGTTTCTGTCTTCTCAGGTAGGTGTGCGATGAGATAAAATACAATTTATGATCATTTGGGCCTAGAAGAGCAGTTTTGATATCCTACAGCTATTGCTTCTCTTGTGACTGCCTGTTCCCCCTTCCCAATGTGACTGGCTCACTCGTATCTATAATCTCTTAGGTTTGCTTTACTCAAGGCAACTACATTCAAGTCAGAGTCCACAGCGAAGTGGCCTCTCTGCACAATAAAGAACATACGACCACCAATGTCTTTCATTTCACGTTCATGTCGGAGAATGAAGTGCCCTTGGTTTTCCCCAGAACATATGGAGGTAAGCAGCCAGGATGGCGTGTCCCTAACAAAGGCAGGAACTTTTCAAGAAATTTTCTCCTTTCAAATTGTTGTAGGAAGCACACTGATGCCTGTTAGCTCAAGAGCACATCTTTAAAATCAATATATATTATTGATTTCAGAGAGGAAGGGAGAGAGGGGGAGAGAGATAGAAACATCAATGATGAGAGAGAATCATTGATCAGCTGCCTCCTGCATGCCCCCTACTGGGGATCGAGCCCACAACCCGGGCATGCGCCCTGATGGGGAATCAAACCATGACCTCCAGGTTCATAGGTCAACGCTCAATCACTGAGCACATCTTTAGGATATTGTGCATTTTCAGGTTCTGCAGCCCTGAAGGCCAAGATGCCTCCTGGCCCCACAGGTGGCTGTGGCTGCTCTGCCCACCTGGCTGTTGTCTGAAGGGCGGGTGCCAGCTGCAAGCAGCCACTGGGGGTCAAAGACTGGTCCAGCCAAAGGAAAGGGGTGGGAGTCGAGGCTTGGGAACCTTGTGTACCCCTGGCCCAATAGCACTTGCTGGGCACCAGTTCTGCGTTCTTACTGCTGCCCAGTGTTCCAGAGTAGTCTTGTGTTTATACCTTGCTGTTCTCAGGCACTGCAAGTTTCTCCATGGTTATCTCTCTTGTGTTTCAGAGTCCATGCTGTATTTAGATGGGCAGCGGCATTTTAACTCCATGAGTGCATCGGATACCATGAAAAAGGACTACCTTCTGAAGCCCCAGGGAAAGCCACGCTTGTTGGAGACCAGCGTTCCTCAGTGACATAGTGCCTGATGCAGGCCTCATCGCGTTTATTGGTTTAGTGTTTATGCTCATCCCCCACAGAGAAAAAGAATGTAATCAGCTTTTAGGATGACTAAAAAAGTAGAACAAGAGAGTGGCTGGCTGGGACAGAGGGAGAGAGAGTTATTAAATAATAAACACTTTCAAAATGATCGAAATTGTGAATCCACCATGTTGCTTCCTGTCTGCTGAAGAAATCAGGACAGATGCCTTTGTATGCCATTGAACACATCTTTTTCTTATACATATCACAGACTATCCATGTGTCCATGGTTTCTTGCCAAGGCATTTAGAGGGCATTCCTTCAGCCTGACCTTTGTGGCAGTTCCCCTGTGTCCTCTAAATCCCAGCAACCCTCCATGATTCCTTAGTGTTTTGCCTCCCCCTGCTTTCCAGCTTTCGTTGTTAGCAAAGGGTAGATAAAAAGTGGGGGCGAGCCCTGACCAGTTTGGCTCAGTAGATAGAGCGTCGGCCTGCGGACTGAAGGGTCCCAGGTTCGATTCCAATCAAGGGCATGTACTTTGGTTTCGGGCACATCCCCAGTAGGGGGTGTGCAGGAGGCAGCTGATCAATGTTTCTCTCTCATTGATGTTTCTAACTCTCTATCCCGCTCCCTTCCTCTCTGTAAAAAATCAGTAAAATATATTTAAAAAAAAAAGAAAAAGTGGGGGTGAAGGGATTTGATGAAAGAGGTGGTATTGTGAAAGATTTGTGGGAAGCTTTAGATCCAAAGTCATAAGCGGAGGTGTTCAGAGATGAGCCAGATGAGGAAACAGGACCATGTGTTCACTCTTTCACTAGACAGCTCCTAGTACTCTCTGCTGGTGGGATATATAATTAAAAAACAATTCCAAGCTGGTTTGGCTCAGTGGATAGAGCATCAGCATGCGGACTGAAGGGTCCTGGGTTTGATTCCAGTCAGGGATACGTAGCTTGGTTGCAAGCTCAATCCCTGGCCCTTATCGGGGCTGAGGCGCATGCAGGAGGCAACCAATTGATGTGTCTCTCTTCCATCGATGTTTCTTTGTCTGTCCCCCTCCCTTCCAGAAACTCTCTAAATATCAATGGAAAAATATCCTCAGGTGAGGATTAACAACAACAAAAACACACCCAAGAACAATAATAACAGCTGCTTATGCTTGTGGATCATACTTGCTATGTGGTAGCTCATTTATTTCTTTTTAAAAAATATTTTTATTGATTTCAGAGAGGAAGGGAGAGGGAGAGATAGAAACATCAATGATGAGAGAGAATCATTGATTGGCTGCTTCCTGCACGCCCCACATTGGGGAATGAGCGCACAACTGGGGATATGCCGTGACCATCAGGAATCAAACCATGACCTCCTGGTTCATAGGTGGATGCTCAACCACTGAGCCACACCGGCTGGGCAAGCTCATTTATTTCTTCCATCAGTGCTATGAGGTAGGTTCTGTAACCCCATCATAGGGTTAGGTCAGGAAACTGAAGTACAGAGAGGTTAAGTAACTTGCCAGGGTCCCACTGCTAGTAGGTGGTGGTGCTGGGATTCAGAATGAGACTCTGTGGGGCCAGAGTACTCTTGACCAGTACACTATACTGCTTTCTAGAAATGTAGCAAGGGAGGCCACACCCAGTATCAATCACAGTGTCACCTAGGGAGGCTGTACCCAATATCTCAATTACCAAAGGGAGGTATTCCCTTGAGTCCGCAGCCAAAACAACAGTTTCTTCCTGGATGGGACAGGAAGTTGATCAAGGTCAGAAGAGACAAAGACCAGGCTGCAGAGAAGAAAAAAAGTCATCTCTGAAAAGGAAGGAAGCAGTCTTTAGTGTGGGTTCCATATCAGTAGTCACAAACTTGGCTCTGCCTCAGAATTAGCTGGCATGCTTTTAAAAATCATGCTGTTTATGGAAATCACAGTTACTATGAACAAACCTTTCTGACATCGTCAGCCCGGAGAACAAACAGCAGCCCGTGTGGCACTCGAGTAGTTTGCTAGCATCCGTCTTTGCCTCCTGAGCTTCATCTGGCCCTTCAGCACAGTGTTTTGCATATCTACCCACAACCCAGTGGGGCCCCTGAGGGGGCTGCTGGGAAGGGATGAGGGAGAGGGATGGGCTCTGAGGAGTTGTATGAATGTGTTCAGTGGAGTTCAGTTAAGAGACCTAATCCTGTTGTGTGAAATGTACATTATCCATTCATCCATTTACTGCTGTGCACTGTAGCTTTTTCTAAAACTTTCCTTGCTATTTTAAGTAATTTATAATAATAAAAGCATAATATGCTAATTAGACCGATGTCCTTCCAGACAATCTTCCAGATGAAGATGGGGCTTCGAGGGAAGCCCGGGTCCCGGGTGTCGGAGGGAAGCCTGGGGCCTGAGTGCCAAAGGGAAGCCGGTACCGGCAGCTGGGGGAAGAAAGGCCTACTCTTGCACGAATTTTGTGCATCAGGCCTCTGGCGTTGCAATAAATATCTTAAGTAGTTAAAATATTTAACCCTTATAAATTATTTTCTTAGGAAATTTGTAGAGAAGTGATGTCCAGGGCAAAATAGTACATATGTGTTGAAGGCTTTGAGTATATTTCACATACCCCTCTAGAACAGTTGCACATGTTCATACGTTAAAGTACATACATGTTGAAGGCTTTGAGTGCATTTCACATTACCCTCCAGAAGAGTTGCACGCGTTCACTTACTCATCAGCAGTTGGCCTTAACTTAGCCACATTTTATCCTGTTCTTTTAAAAACATCTTTGCCATTTTGATAGGCAAAAAAAATGACATTCATTAATTGCCTTTCTTTTAATTCTACTGAGATTGAACTTTAAAAAATTTGCTCATTGTCTTTTTTAATCCTCACCTGAGGATATTTTTCCATTGATTTTTAGAGACAGTGGAAGAGAGGGAAAGACAGAGAGAAATACTGATGTGAGAGAAACACATCGACTGGTTGCCTCCTGCATGAGCCCTGACCAGGCCTGGGCTGGTGAGGAACCTGCAACTAAGGTCCATGCCCTTGACCAGAATCGAACTTGGGACCCTTCAGTTTGCTAGCTGACACTCTCCACTGAACCAAACCAGCCAGGGCTCATTGTCTTTTTAGTTGTTACTTGTTCGAGTAATTTTGGATACTGGAGTCTTAATCCTAAATATGTTATCTACCAATATAGTTTTTTAAATGATTAGAGCTAGAGGGTTTTTTTTTTGTTTTTAATTTTTAAAAAAACATATTTTATTGATTTTTTTTTTACAGAGAGGAATGGAGAGAGAGAGAGAGTTAGAAACATCGATAAGAAAGAAACATCGACCAGCTGCCTCCTGCACACTCCCCACTGGGGATGTGCCCGCAACCAAGGTACATGCCCTTGACCGGAATCAAACCCCAGACCTTCCAGTCCGAAGGCTGATGCTCTATCCACTGAGCCAAGTTGGTTAGGGCTAGAGGTTTTTTATAATATATTTTTTATTGATTTCAGAGAGGAAGGGAGAGGGAGAGATAGAAACATCAATGATGAGAGAGAATCATTGATTGTCTGCCCCCTGCACACCCTACCCTGGGGATCAAGTCCACAACCCTGGGCATGTTCCCTGACTGGGAATCAAACCGTGACCTGCTGGTTCACAGGCCGATGCTCAACCACTGAGCCATGCTGGCTAGGCAAGAACTAGAATTTTAATATAGGATTTTAAAAAGATGAGAGGAAGTCGACGATGTAGGATACACAATAGATTCTAGATATTTAGTGTTCTGTCTCTCTGCTTTAAAGAATAGCAAACTTTTAACCAGTACCAGCTCTGCCACATATCTAGTGTGGAATTTCCTAATGTGGGTTGGATGTGGTTTAGTCCGTGCTGAGAGATCCCAGTATTACTTCAGGCATTTATTACAAGTTCTTTATTTTTTTGCTTAGGTATTTCTTCAACGGGCAGTCTTTTTAATTTAATTTTATATATTTTTTATTAAGACAGCTCAAAGTTTTTAGCATTAATTTTTTAAGGGGCTATGTCCTGGTATGGCCATCCAAGTTGAGGCGTGTCCACCCTTACCCTGTGTGTGACGGGTCCAATCTCATTCTGCAGTCTGAACAGCAATCTCTGTGGTAAGCAAGACAAGGTAGGGTCCTTCCCAGGAGGGTTCCAACTTGTTTCCCTTCCAAGTCTTAAATTAGAACAAACGTAGTCTCCCGGTCGATGGTGATGAACCAGAAATGCAAGAGGAGGGCCTTGGGTCAGGAGGCCTTCTAACCTGAGAGAGATTCAAGTAGAAGAGATACTCAGTACACAGTTCTTAAGAAATTGGCCCCTAGTCTCCATTGTAGGAAGATCTTGAGGCATTCCAGGGCCTATTGGAATCACCTAAAGCCAAATGTAGGTCAAGAAAAAACGTTTAACTTCATTTGTCCTTGGGTGTAGCCAGCAAGTGACACCAATTGGATTTTGCTATTTGTCTCCCTGAGTACTTTGTTATTGTTTTTTTACAGAGAGGAAGGGAGAGAGGTAGATAGTTAGAAACATTGATCAGATGCCTCCTGCACACTCCCTACTGGGTATGTGCCCACAACCAAGGTACATGCCCTTGACCAGAATCAAACCTGGGACCCTAGCATCCACAGGCTGATGCTCTATCCACTGAGCCAAACTGGTTAGGACTCCCTGAGTACTTTGGACCACTGGTGGTCTGTGATGTCTGAAAGGTTGGCAACTGCTGTGATAGATCCTTTCTTGCAACCCAAATACCCTGTCCATGTTCCCTTTGCTGCCTGCATGCTCTATGACATCTACTTTCCCTCATCTCTTTGTATAGAACCAGGAGCTTGATTCCCAAAGAACTGAAGTCCTTCTCTTACCCCCAGGGAGTTCAGCATTTTCTTTTTGATGAGTTTGTACAGGGAGAGACCTTTTCTCCTTCTAAAGACATTTGATTCTTTGGGATGGCTGGGCTCACCTGGAGGTTCTTCTGCTTTATGTGGCATTGGCTGGGGTCACTGGGGCAGCTGTGTTCATCCGGGAGCTTGCCTAGTGTGGAACATCTGGCACCTCAGCTGGGGTGGCTGGCATGGGTGGGGTCTGCCCAGGCATCTCTAATAGGCTGGTTGAATTTCTTCAATGGTGGCTCAAGGGGTCCAAGAGGAGCCAGACACATTCTTAAGCCATAACTACATCATCCTCCTGCCTCTCAAAGCCATTTTTGTGGAGGGAATGATCAGTGGTGTCATGGAAGCTGACAAAGATGAGCACTGGGAAAAGGCTACAGGTTGGATGATGGAGAGGTGCTGGTAAGAAAAAAAAAAAACAATTTCAAAAAGCTGCATGACAAGGGGCCGAGTCATTGCAAGCGTCCAGCTCTCTTTCATGGGTGAATTCCTTGGGCGCTGGTGCTAGTGAGATGCTGTTTTATAAACATTTTATTTACAAGTAACACTGGGAAACTGCCTAGGATAACCCTCCTCGGATATGTTAGAATGGATATTAGCTTACAAAAGACTGAAAAGTAGGACCGTAAGAACACCTGTTTAACTTGACCATGGACCTTTTTCTTTTTGTTAACACCTATAAAAAAATAAAAAACACTAGGAGTTTTTATAACTCTTACAAAGCTGGGATGACACTCTTTATTCTATTTTGTTACATGAAAGGGCAGTATAGTATATGTCTAAGGAGTAAATCATTTGCGCTCTTTTGCTCTGAAGAATCAAATATTAGTATTATGTTTCTTTTTTGTTGCTGTTAACCATCACCAGAGCATATTTTTCCATTGATTTTTTAGAGAGAGTGGAAGGGAGGGAGAGAGACACACAGAGAGAAACATCAGTGTGAGAGAGGCACATCTATTGGTTGCCTCTTGCACGTGTCTGGACCAGGGCCAGGAATGAGCCTGCAACCAAGGTCCGTACCCTTGACCAGAATTGAACTGGGACCCTTCAGTCCATGGGTGGATGCTCTATCCACTGAGCCAAACCGGCCAGGGCAGTATTATGTTTCTTAAAACCAAATTTTGGATGACATTTTAGATCCCACTGACATTTTCATCTCTCAAGAGTTAGCAGGTTTGCTTTGGAGTATAATTGCTGTCATTGTTGATGTTTTATAAAATTAACTTCTAGCAAAGTGTTTAACTGTACAAGGAATTCTGAATAATAATCTTATAGCATTTAATCCTTTACAGATGAGAAGAGGGAGGTGAAAGGAAGTGCATCAGGAGGAAGGTGAAGGTTAGTTTATAAGATTTGCGTCTGTTTTGGTACATAGGATACAAGTTTGTGTTCCCCATTTCTGTTTCTGGGCAAGAGCCTGAAGTTCAAAATCAATGCTTAGTGCTTTAACATGAAAACTTAGGGATTCTTTATTTGGTTCTAGAATCCCATGGCAACTTGTATGTTAGTGAAGTGTGGCAAAAAATCAGTTATAAGATGTAATCATTACAAAATAAGAATTTTTATGTATAGCTAAAGCATACTGGATTCTTTCTATGTGTCAGGCACTGTGTTGATGACATTAAAATGTACTTTCATGACCTGGCCGGGTAGCTCAGTTGGTTAGAGCATTGTCCCAATAAGCCAAGGTTGTGGGTTTGATCCCTTGTCAGGGCACATACAAGAATCAACAATGAATGCATAATTAAGTGGGACAACAAATTGATGTTTCTCTCTCAAATCAATAAATAAAATTTAAAAATGAACTTTCTCATTTAATTCTTACAATCGCCCTTTGAGGTAAGTACTGTTATTACCCCCATTTTGCAGAAGAGGAAAGTGAGGCTTAGAGAGGGGAACATAATCTCCCAAGGCCTACCCTATACCTATATAGGTGCGGTAGACACAGACTAGATCTAGAATCTTGGCCCTTTGCCACATTTTATACATATTTTCTCAGCTGATATGATAAGTTAACTAATGATTTTATGTATTTGGTATGAAAAAAATATATATATATAATGTTAGAACATGATAGAATCTCAACCAAAATAGATGAGGTTGGCTGAAATATTTTTAGCATAAAAAAACCTCTTAGAATAAAACTTTTGCTACATTTGTGATTGACTCTTTAAATTGACTTGTGAATGTCTTCTCCCCCTCGCTTGGCAACAAATAATGAATTACTATAAAACAGGTAACAGGAAAGAGGAATTAAAAAAAAAAGGAGTTGGTAAGTTTAAAATGGACTTAAGGGTCTTTAATAAATTACATTATGATATTTAGAATTATGATATTTCATGAAACTGTTGTATCATAAGATTATTTTGATCTAAGGGGCTCAACCTGAGGTGGATTTAGGGGTGCTTGGGTCCAGTTGGGTGGGTTTCTGGCAGGCAGTGTGATGTGGGAGAAGCGTGCTGGCCTGAATGTTCACGCCTGTGAGATTGGTCTATGTCTGCAGGCCTCTAGTTCAAGGGGTAGGGTGGGGGGATTCATTGCTTCAGGTCTGAGTCTTCCTCCATAAAAGTAGGGGTATTTTTCTTATCCCACAGTCTTCTGATTTAGACCTATACTCCTTCACTTGATTCAGCTGTTCTGTTAGTGAAATATTTTAATGAATATTTCATTAAATAGCATCTTAAAAATCAAATCCTATTTAAGATTTGTATGCTAAAAAGAAAAGGAGCCTCAGAAGAAAAGAGGCCATTCTGAAAACCATTTAGTAATCCAGAGGCACTGAGAAATTAATACCCCAGAGAAAGGATTATAGTAACCAAAGACAGGGTAAGAATATTTTTAAAAAAATATATTTTATTGATTTTTTACAGAGAGGAAGGGAGAGGGATAGAGAGTCAGAAACATCAATGAGAGAGAAACATCGATCAGCTGCCTCCTGCACACCTACCACTGGGGATGTGCCCGCAACCAAGGTACATGCCCTTGACTGGAATCGAACCTGGAACCCCTCAGTCCGCAGGTGGACGCTCTATCCACTGAGCCAAACCAGTCAGGGCAGGGTAGGAATATTTTTATTTAAATTAAAAAAATGATTTCAGAAGAGAGGAAGGGAGAGGGAGAGAGGAATAGAAGCTCAATGATGAGAAAGAATCATTGATCAGCTGCCTCCTGCACACCCCCTGCTGGCGATCAAGCCCACAAGCCAGGCATGTGCCCTGACTGGGAATCCAACTACGACTTCCTGTTCATCAATTGACACTCAACCACTGAGCACACCAGCCGGGTGGGATATTGTGATTTTTGTTTCACAGAAATTGTGCTCTAATAGAGGGAATAATATGGGTAATATGGCTAAAACAATATAATGGAAGTAAAATGAAAATTACAGATGACCATGTATTGATATAGTAGGCATTTATTTTATCCTGAATATATATATATCTTGGGCTATGAAATTTAGTGGGTTGTGACCAGCATTAGAAAAATAAAAGCTCAGAATGCATCATGCATGATAATGGTGTGTGAAACTCATTGTGAACATGCATGTTGCACACGCATGCCCCTGTATACTAGGTCACAATGTAAAATGTACTTTTAACTGGGTCAGAGTCATTAATGGGAGTATACTTAGTACAAATTAATATGCCTACTTGAGTTGTACTTAGTTTTGAATTAGTCTGATTTTTTTTCTAAATTATATTGGTTAAAAAAACACATAAAAATGTTCACATTAGTTGTTGCTAATTAGTTGTTGTAGCCTGAAAGCGGGGCTTAGTACCTGGCTGATGGCTGAGGGATTTCAGTGCGCCGAGCGCCATCTCGTGGCCTTTGGGTTACAATGCAGTGTACCCCCTTTAATAAAAAACTTGTAAATCCTGTTTCTGAGCTGTACAAATGACCAGAATTTAACTTAAAAACCACACCTGCAGATTCAATTTTTAAAAAAAAAAATATTTTTTTTATTGATTTCAGAGAGGTAGGGAGAGGGAGAGAGAGATAGAAACATCAATGATGAGAAAATCATTGATCGTCTGCCCATTGCACACCCCACACTGGGGATCAAGCCCACAACCCGGGCATGTGCCCTGACCAGGAATCGAACCGTGACCTCCTGGTACATAGGTTGACACTCAACCACTGAGCCATGCTGGTAGGGCTGCAGATTCAATTCTTACCTTTCATCTCACCTTGGCCACACCCTCACCGCTGACCGTAGCCAGTGAGCTCTAAAAGTATGTGTCATTTCCCAGCAGATTAACATGAGAGGATATCCAGTCAGTGCTTTGTCTCTTGAAGTTGGGTCACAGGTACAGTCTTTTCATATAAGGACAGTGCACTCATAGGTGACAGTCTTCAGTGGAGCAATGGGAAATGGGTTTACAATTCCCTCCTCTGTGATCCCTTCCCTCACCCCAGTTTTTCCTTTTAGTTGCTATGCTCACTTTGGAGCTACCACAGGTGACAGTCTTTTAGCATTTATTACACCGTCTTGCTCTTTCTGCATGCTTTCATTTGGGAAACTGTGGGCTTCTTGTGGGAAGAGATGTCATATCTTTATATCTGCATTGACTAGCAAAGTGCCTTGTACATGTGTAAGTAATAAATATTTTGTGTATGAACAAATGAATGATTTAAGTGAATTTGGTTGTTTGATTTGGCTTTTGAATTTTTTAATTTAAAAATTGTCAAGTTAAGCCTCAAGAAGGTGGACCTTTAAACTATATTTTCAGGATTTTACATAAGTGTACATTATGCCAAAATTGTGTTATGTGAATAATGGAATTGGTAAAAGTTGCTTTGCTATCTAAGACTAAATACCATCTACAATAATACAAGCATAATATGCTAATTAGACCAGACATCCTTCTGGACATCCTTCCTTCCGGACAAAGCTGCAGTGAGCGGGGGCTGAGGCAGAGGCCGCTGCTGCCAGTGGTGGGGGCCAAGGTCCTTGCACAATTTTGTGCATCGGGCCTCTAGTGTTAAATATTTTCCTTCCTATTAAAAGCTAGGTAAAATTTTTAATGAGTTTATGGAAGCATGTGTGTATATATATATGTGTGTGTTATATATCTATACACACACAAGCATATATATCTATCTCCCCTGACATGGAGACCTTTATGGAGCTATTTACCTGAGATACATGTTTTATCTCATTCATATATTAACTAGAGGCCTGGTGCATGAGATTCGTGCACTGGGGGGGGGGGTCCCTCAGCCCGGCCTGTGCCCTCTTACTCTCTGGGAGCCCTCAGGGGATGTCCGAGTGGGCCCAAGTCATCAGTAGGATATCCTTAGCACTGCTGTGGAGGCGGGAGAGGCTCCTGCCACTGCCGCTGTGCTCACCAGCCATGAGTCCAGCTTCTGGGCTTCTGGCTGAGTGGTGCTCCCCCTGTGGGAGCGCACTGATCACCAGGGGCAGCTCCTGCGTTGAGCGCCTGCCCCCTGGTGGTCAGTGCATGTCATAGCGACCAGTCGTTCCACAGTTCAGTTGATTTGCATATTACCCTCTTATTATATAGGATAAGTCTATTCAAAAATATTTCAGTGACATAGCATCAGAAAGTTCATGGGTAATGAAGTACAATGATGCATTCCATGATATCAGATGGGGGGTGGTTAGAGTACAGAGCATCATTACCTAGTGAAATAGTGGTTAATATATTTGAGAACAAAATATACGACCAGGAAGTCTACTGACAGATGGAAAGTTTAGGATGTAGGATTAGATGTGACCATGCACAGAAAAGAAATGATGGGAATGGGGACAGATTTCTTGCATGAGATTCTGGGGATTCAGAAATCCCTGGAAGAACAGTCTGCTACAATCACTGTAAAGCCTGGCATACTGGCAAGACTTAACTGGGAAATATGCAACAGAAGATCAGAACTTGGAGGGAGAAGCATGGAATTATAGATGATATATATGTGTGTATAGATATATGTGTGTGCACTGAAGAGATTGCCTAGTGATTTCATAGAACCTCCAAGTCACTCCAACTATTATTTTGGATAAGCTCCAAATGTCATGGCATGTCCTGTCCTGCTGCAGAGGCAGCTCCTAAACTGTACTGGTCTCCTTACCTTAATCTGTTGGCAGCTGTCTCTAGGGATTTGTCAACCTTACCACTATTGACATCTTGGGCTGGGTAAGTCTTTGTTGTGGGCTGTCCTGTCCATTGTAGAATGTTTGGCAGCACCCCCACAGATGTGACAACCAAAAACATCTCGACATTACCATGTCCCCTGGGGGCAAATTGTCCTTGAGTGAGCAGCACTTCTCTAGATTGCGTAGGTCAGCATGTTCTGGGAATAGGTCTCCTATAGCTGTGACC